GTGTATCGTATCTTCCCTTTCTTCCCGTATCCCTTCTTCTGTGTGTAGTGTATCGTATCTTCCCTTTCCTCCCGTATCATTTCTTCTTCTGTGTAGTGTATCGTATCTTCCCTTTCCTCCCGTATCCCTTCTTCTTCTGTGTGTAGTGTATCGAACCTCCCTTTCCTCCCGTATCCCTTCTTCTTCTGTGTGTAGTGTATCGTATCTTCCCTTTCCTCCCGTATCCCTTCTTCTGCGTGTAGTGTATCGTATCTTCCCTCTCCTCCCGTATCTCTTCTTCTGTGTGTAGTGTATCGTATCTTCCCTTTCCTCCCGTATCCCTTCTTCTTCTTCTGTGTAGTGTATCGTATCTTCCCTTCCTCCCGTATCCCTTCTTCTTCTGTGCGTAGTGTATCGAACCTCCCTTTCCTCCCGTATCCCATTTTCTTCTGTGTGTAGTGTATCGTATCTTCCCTTTCCTCCCGTATCCCTTCTTCTGCGTGTAGTGTATCGTATCTTCCCTCTCCTCCCGTATCTCTTCTTCTGTGTGTAGTGTATCGTATCTTCCCTTTCCTCCCGTATCCCTTCTTCTGCGTGTAGTGTATCGTATCTTCCCTCTCCTCCCGTATCTCTTCTTCTGTGTGTAGTGTATCGTATCTTCCCTTTCCTCCCGTATCCCTTCTTCTTCTTCTGTGTAGTGTATCGTATCTTCCCTTCCTCCCGTATCCCTTCTTCTTCTGTGCGTAGTGTATCGAACCTCCATTCCCTCCCGTATCCCTTCTTCTTCTTCTGTGTTTAGTGTATCGTATCTTCCGTTTCCTCCCGTATCCCTTCTTCTGCGTGTAGTGTATCGTATCTTCCCTTTCTTCCCGTGTCCCTTCTTCTGTGTGTAGTGTATCGTATCTTCCCTTTCCTCCCGTATCCCTTCTTCTTCTGTGTGTAGTGTATCGTATCTTCCCTTTCCTCCCGTATCCCTTCTTCTCTTGTGTGTAGTGTATCGAACCTCTCTTTCCTGCCGTATCCCTTCTTCTTCTTCTGTGTGTAATGTATCGTATCTTCCCTTTCTTCCCGTGTCCCTGCTTCTGTGTGTAGTGTATCGTATCTTCCCTTTCTTCCCGTGTCCCTTCTTCTGTGTGTAGTGTATCGTATCTTACCTCTCCTCCCGTATCCCTTCTTCTGTGTGTAGTGTATCGTATTTCCCTTTCCTCCCGTGTCCTTTCTTCTGTGTGTAGTGTGTCGTATCTTCCCTCTCCTCCCGTATCTCTTCTTCTGTGTGTAGTGTATCGAAACTTCCCTTTCCTCCCGTGTCCTTTCTTCTGTGTGAAGTGTATCGTATCTTCCCTTTCCTCCCGTGTCCCTTCTTCTGTGTGTAGTGTATTGTATCTTCCCTCTTCTCCCGTATCTCTTCTTCTGTGTGTAGCGTATCGTTTCTTTTCCTTTCGTATTCTCTTCCCTCTTCTCCCGTATCTCTTCTTCTGTGTGTAGCGTATCGTTTCATTTCCTTTCGTATTCCTTCTTCTGTGTGTAGTGAATCTTATCTTCCTTTCCCTCCCGTATCCCTTCTGATGTGTGTAGTGTATCGTATCTTCCCTTTCCTCCCGTGTCCCTCCTTCTGTGTGTAGTGTATCGTATCTTCCCCCTCCTCCCGTGTCCCTTCTTCTGTGTGTAGTGTGTCGTATCTTCCCTCTCCTCCCGTATCTCTTCTTCTGTGTGAAGTGTATCGTAACTTCCCTTTCCTCCCGTGTCCCTTCTTCTGTGTGAAGTGTATCGTATCTTCCCATTCCTCCCGTGTCCCTTCTTCTTCTGTGTGTAGTGTATTGTATTTTCCCTTTCCTCCCGTATCCTTTCTTCTGTGTGTAGTATATCGTATCTTCCCTTTCCTCCCGTATCCTTCTTCTGTGTGTAGTGAATCCTATCTTCTTTTTCCTCTCCTATCATTTCTGGTGTGTAAGGTGTATCGTATCTTCTTTTCTTCCCGAATCCCTTCTTCTGTGTGTAGTGTATCGTATCTTCATTTCCTCCCGTATCACTTTTGTGTGTAGCGTATCGTTTCCTCTTTTCCTCCCGTATAACTACTTCTGTGTTTAGTGTATCGTTTCTTTTCCTTTCGTATTCCTTCTTCTGTGTGTAGTGAATCTTATCTTCCTTTCCCTCCCGTTTCCCTTCTGATGTGTGTAGTGTATCGTATCTTCTTTTCCTCTCCAATCCCCTTTTTCTTTATATAATTTCAAACTTGTGTATGCAATTTTTTTTTCTTTTTCTGTGTTTTTGAAATGAGAAGCATATTGGATATATATAAAAAAAAAAAGCTTTTACTTTTGTTCGCCAGACGCGTTTCGTCAATAAAAGACTCAAATCAGTGACGCTCTAAAAAATAAATTGAATAAAAAAAATTAAAGGCCTAATAGAATATGAAGATGAAGAGCATTGAGGACCCAGAAATCCGAAACGTTTTGTCGAATACAGCTAAGGTAATATATTCCGTGGGTAACAAAATACTTAGTACTTCGAACAATACCTCTATCCGTCATGGTTTCAGGGCGTGAAGAACTTACCCGAACTATCAATCAGAAACGCGCGTTAAATACATAGTATAGACAAATAGACAAGACAAGACAAGACAAATACTTTATTAAAGTCTCACCTTATGTACATACATATAAAACATAGACATATATAAACAACAGCGTATACATAAGCCACTCAGAAAAAAGTTACGAGAGACTGATTAAAACACATATACATAAAAGAAATGTTTATACAAACATTAATTAGATATAGGAAGATGTGGTATAAGTGCCAATGAGACAACTCTCCATCCAAGTTACAATTTATAAAAGTTAACCATTATAGGTCAAGGTACGGCCTTCAACACGGAGCATTGGCTCACACCGAACAGCAAGCTATAAAGGGCCCCAAAAAATTACTAGTGTAAAACCATTCAAACGGAAAAACTAACGGTCTAATCTGTATAAAAACGAGAAACGAGAAACACGTATGAACTACATAAACAGACGACAACTACTGTTATCAGATTCCTGACTTAGGACAGGTGCAAACATTTGCAGCGGGATTAAACGTTTTTATGGTACCAAACCTTCTCCCTTTTCTGAACCAATAGTATAACATCACAACATAGAAAAACACACTATAAAATATCAATTGGAAGGCTTAACTCAATCAAAATTCGTAAATTAACACACAATGAACGAATAGATTTGACCTGTGACACCTGAATGCAAATACACAGTTAATAAAAAATTACAAGGGATAAATAATTAAAGTCAAAAGTAAATAAACAGGAAAGTTAAAGTATGATGCCACTGTGAAATGTCAAACAATTTTTAGAAAATCATCACTTTTGTAGAAACCTGCGTCATATTATACACGGGTAAATGAAAATAATTATGTTGTTAAGTATACTTCTTCTTCTGTATTAAACCTATTTGTTACATCGACATATATAAAAGGTAAACACCAGCTTATACATAAGCCACTCTAAAAAGAGTAATGAGAAAATGATTAAAACATTTGACATAAAAGTAATGTATATACAATCATTAAGCATATAAAACACTTTTTCTTCTTAATAGTATATGATGAAATATTTAGTTATCTTGAACATTATAAAATTAATACTTAAGTATTTATTTTTTGAATTATATTCATTTACTTTGCAAAGAAAATTTTGAAGTAACGCACGGTATTTAAACAATAATCAAAAGATAGGAAGGATTCAGTTATTCCTTGACTGATGCCTTTATTCAACTTTGTTGGAATTTGTCACAGCTCATTTGTTTTTGGGTCGTCTTTGCAATGTCGATTTTTGCAAATCAAGGACAACTAATTTGGGAATTAAAAGCTGTTGATTAAAATGCTTGCTTGTATATTGTCGGAAAATATAAGATTTATATGTACGAGTTTAAGAACATGGAGCTTTTCTCTTGTTTCGTGGCATGTATTTGTTTGGTTTAGGCGTTTATAAAATTATCTAGGATTAAATTTATCTATATCGAGATCAATTTGAAAGCGAAGTAGGACATTTATAAAAGGTTAAAAAAATAGGACAGGGATTGTAAAACCATTTTGGTGACGACAAAATCTCATTATTATTCAACTATTTTTTGTTTTGTTAATTTATTTGCTCAGTGTAAACGCCAGCGTGAGGACAAATCGTGAGGCTATGCATACAATCTGAGATTACTATTACAAAGGTCTCAGATTCAATTGACCCTCAACTGGGACTAATATATGAATCATATGATTCAGAGTTCGAGGAAAGGGTGCGTAACTGTTTGAAATGGTAAGAATGGCGCACGCGTAGTGAGGCAAAACATTTTTAACGACATTATGTCTACAAATTCTTTTCCCGATCAGATGAGAGGAAGCGTTAGCACTCTATGCCTCCACCTGAACCCGCCACTGAAAATGGTGTTCATTTTGTAAAGAAATATTTTGTTTTTAATATTTCAATCACATATTTAATTATGGCATATGCAATTAAGAGAATTGGAATGGATGGAAAAATCAAGCATATCAATTTATTATTATCCATACTATGTAATTTACCTGGTGACTATGAATAGCAACAAAAAATCAACAAGAGTTACACCGCTTGTATTATTAACACAGCAAAAACGATCTATTATTTTTATCGGCCTTGAAATATATACTTAAACTGAATGGGATACAAAACTGAAAAAAAATGTGGTACGGAAGTTACTGTTTTATTGCATTACGAAAATGTTCTATTTACGATGTTTCGGCTTTATAAAGCATTATAACACAAGTCCAAAATTATAAAAAATATATACATATGCATAATATATACGTAATACTAAAGCAAATGACCTTGTTTAATCTAATTTCTTTAATGTAAACATCAACTTTATTATAATATTAACATCTTAGTGACCTCAGCCTTGTTTACTACGTATTAACTGGTTATGTGGACGCAGCCAGCGTTTCGTCTGACATATTGACCTCAAAACCTCAATTTTTACAAAATTACCAATAAACAAGTTCAAACCGATCGTATAAGTAGGAAAACATATAGGTTCTGGCCATACTAAGTATTGTCAATTTCTGTGAAATAGATTCTATATTAATGGGGTATTGTATTACATAATGGAATGCGGAAATACCAAACGTGTTACCGGGTTTAATAATGAGTCAAGGACTTCGAGTTCGACAAAGGTTCTACGACATCTTGGAGATGAAAGCTTTGTGCAGTCTAAATTCTGCAGACAAAGAACCATAAGAACATATATCTGGATATACATTGTAACCGTTATGTCTGTAAGTAATTTATCTTTCTTATAACTATTTAAATGTACCGTTTCCTCAAACATGACTAGTCTTAATTACTTAATGGCCGGTGAAAATTTGTTATGTTGACCCAAATTTAATGTTGATGGTATTATTTTCAAAATTCTTATCTGTTCTCTGAATGTTCTATTAGAACGTCGATTAAATCAAGTGAGCTCACTTTTTTTTGCGCACATAACAGTTTTATTTTTATATCTTTAACATTTGCGTGCCGTCATGGCTCTTGTATAAAAGTTCTATTCGTTCCAATTGATCGTATATGATATTCTAGGCTACATATTTCAGGATGTTAAGCTTATTTGTGGCCAGTAAATGGGTTACGTTAATGATTAAGTGAGCAACGAAGTTTGGCATGTTTAACTAAAAATCAAATTCAAGAATGTTGCATACATCATTTTTATTCCTGACATATTGCTGAATATAAAAATTAGTATTAATGCCAATGAGACAACTATCTACAAGAGGGACGAAAGATACCAGAGGGACAGTCAAACTCACAGATCGAAAACAAACTGACAACGCCATGGCCAAAAATAAAAAGACAAACAGACAAATAATAGTACAGATGACGCAACATAGAAAACTAAAGACTAAGCAACACGAACCCCACCAAAAACTGGGGGTGATCTCAGGTATAGGTATTAAAAAATACATGTAAGCATGTGAAATAATTTAAGAGCAAAACACAATAAACGAAAAACTATTATGGCAGAGAGCAACCAACAACAATCAGTGGGTCCTTTAATAAAATAATAGAGAATAATTGTCAAAATAAATATCATAAATATAGAATAGAAGAATTAAAGAATACAGATCCTCTGGTATATAGCTCGAACGAGTATGGAGTCGGTATATTCAGCATCGAAGATGTCAAACGATTATACACAGACCTCATGCAAAAACATTTTTGAGAACGTCAGCTTTAACCATTCTTACAAATGTATAATGATGCATTCGTTGGGTGATTACATACAATGTTTTTATATAGTCGTTGATCCTGCTGTACTAATAAATCAGAGCAAAGCACGAAAAAATTACCAATATTGATAACTATAATCTGATTAAGTATCCCCGCTTCGCTTATAAACCCCGGAGATATATTTCATTTGCATTGGATATAAGATAGTTTGATGGCATGAGATAAAAAAAATATTCTCCAATGACTCAGTTAAACCAGATATTTACCAACTTATTATTGTCATCTTTAGTAATTCCACAGGAAACGTTATTTCTTGTTTTTCCACCATTACTCAAGAAATTACTTTTACCATATCAAATTGAAAAATTGCCAGGTATGGATGATATATGCAATTAATTATTCAACCCCTTAAAAGTAAGTTAGCTAATGCCAAGTCTATGGTCAATCACAAATACTGAGCCAGTGTAAATATGTACTTTATTATTTATGTAAATAAATAAAAGGTTTCAGAAAGTACTAAACTTAACAAGACTTTTTCTTAAATAAATGCTATATTAAAAAAAATAATATAAAATTATCAATAAAAGTATTCCCAAGATATTGAAATAAGCAGTTGATACAATCAACATGTATAACCATGATAACTGCTTTATAATCTTAAATTGCTCTGTATATTTTAAGCTTATTGATATAGTTCTTGAATCCAAGAACATAGACTACAGCTTTCTTTCTTTATTTTTATACCCACATGCATCAATTTTTTTAAACATTTTTTCTGTAAGTATAAGAATTGTACAGAACTTTTGTCTAAAAGTGGAAATATAGTAAGCCCAAGAAAAATGGGAAATGATTAGTAGTTGTAAGAGATTTAGCAGTCTGGTTGTGCATGTTTAAAGTATATAAAATAAGGAGATGTACCTGGTATATTGCCGAAGGGAAAACTATCCAACAGTCAAAAACTAAAGGTATACAGCTCTCTAACAAGTAAACAACAAAAATAATGGCATGCACCACCAGTACGCCACGAGGACACATTCTACTGCATCCACACAGCACGAGAAACATACTCTGCAAGCAATATAAAATAAGGAAATTATATTGCCAAAGAGACAACTATCCAACAGTCAAAAACTAAAGGTAGACAGCTTTCTCAAAGGCAACCAACACATAAATACAGGTATATACTACCAGCACGGGGACACATTCTACTACATCCACACAGCACGAGCAATAAGCCCTGCTATCAATATAAACTAAGGAGATGTAGTAAGATTGCCAATGAGAAAAGTATACAAGGTAGACAGCTTTCTCACAGACAAACAACACATAACTGACATAAAAAGGGCATATACCACCAGCATGGGGATGCATTCTATTGAACTCACACAGCACGAGCAACAAACCCTCATATCAGTAAATAGTAAGGAAATGCAGTAAGATTACCAACGAGACAATTAACTGTCCGACAGTGAAAAACTAATGGTATATATATATATGTATATAGACAGCTTTCTCAAATGCTAAAAACGCATATTAAACTGGCAAAAATATAAGGGCTTATACCACCAGCAATGGCACACAGCACAAGCAACAAACCCAGCATGGCTGCTATCAATACAAAATAAGGAGATGTAGTAAGATTGCCATTGAGACCACTATTTAACAGTCAAAGGCTAAAGGTAGACAGCTTTCTCACAGGCAACAAACACATAACTGAAAATTGGGGCATATGCCACCTGCACGGGGATACATTTTACTGCATCCACACAACATGAAAGAACAAACCCTGCTATCAGTATGAATAAGGGTAAGGAGATATAGTAAGATTGCCGAATGGACAACTTTTAACCAGTCATAAACTAAAGGTTGACAGCTTTCTCATATGCAAACAACACATAACTGACAACAATAAGGGCATACTAGTATACCACAACACAACACGAGCGACAAACTCTGCATTCGATATAAAATAAGGGCATACTAGTATACCACAACACAACACGAGCGCAACAAACCCTTCATTATATCTAAAATAAGGGCATACTAGTATACCATAACACAACACGAGCAACAAACCCTTCATTAGATCTAAAATAAGGGCATACTAGTATACCATAACACAACACGAGCGCATCAAACCCTTCATTCGATATAAAATAAGGGCATACTAGTATACCACAACACAACACGTGCAACAAACCCTGCATTCGATATAAAATAAGGGCATATACTAGTATATCACAACACAACACGAGCAACAAACCCCACAATCGATATGAAATAAGAAGATGCCTTGTAATTTATTACATTGAAAAAAGTTCAAAATGAAGTGAAGTTATTTAAGATAATCATATATTCATTGGCCGTAGACATTCTTCTTAATGTAATCTTAGACTAGAACATGAGTTTATCTATTAACCGCCTCTGCGGTTTTGTGGTAGCGTGCTAGCCTCGAATGCGGGTGCTCAAAATGGTTTGAAAATTAATATTTGCTGCTACAGAGTCCGCCAAGCACGCTGCTGGCCGGCTCGGAGTCAGAATTACGTTGCCGGGTCCTCGGGGGAAGCAGAAGCGGGTCCGGGATTTTGAAAACGGGGCCGGGGCCGGGGCCGCGAGACCCTAAACTAGACAAAGTTTGGAGTGGAACAGATAAAGAGTCTGGAATAACCATAAATGTGGCTCCATAAGGGGCCCTTGGCACCGCCTCCCTAATTCCGCCTCTGGGAAGGGGTATCCATGAGCAGTTGAGACATCAGGTACACCAGCCGACCTTCGTTTTCATGTATTTGAAATAACAAAAGTACATACCATTTCATATATTTTTGACAACAAAATACACCTATATAGCTTTCATGAGTTTGCTATTTCACGGAGAGGTAAATAGATTTGACAAAAATCTAATGCCCTTTAATTGCATCTGTAAAAAATATCCAAATCTGACTAGTTATTATATAGATACTTGAGATTTAATCAGCAACCTTATATATTTCCAATTAATTTCTCGACCTTACCGTATATTGTCAAGCTTAATGTATAGTTTCTGTACCCATTCCAGTGATTCATCCCTACCACTCATTGTAAATGATGATCCTCCTCCCTCACACACCGATACTCATCACTACCACTCACTGTAAATGATGATCCTCCTCCCTCACACACCGATACTCATCACTACCACTCATTGTAAATGATGATCCTCCTCCCTCACACACCCGCGATACTCATCACTACCACTCATTGTAAATGATGATCCTCCTAACTCACACTCCGATACTCATCACTACCACTCATTGCAAATGATGATCCTCCTCCCTCACACACCGATACTCATCACTACCACTCATTGCAAATGATGATCCTCCTCCCTCACCCACCGATACTCATCCCTACCACTCATTGCAAATAATGATCTTCCTCCCTCACACACCGATACTCATCACTACCACTCATTGTAAATGATGATCCTCCTCCCTCACACACCCGCGATACTCATCACTACCACTCATTGTAAATGATGATCCTCCTCCCTCACACACCGATACTCATCACTACCACTCATTGCAAATGATGATCCTCCTCCCTCACACACCGATACTCATCACTACCACTAATTGTAAATGATGATCCTCCTCCCTCACACACCGATACTCATCACTGCCACTCATTGTAAATGATGATCCTCCTCCCTCACACACCGATACTCATCACTACCAGTAATTGCATATTAAGTGCCCCCCCTTTTCACACCACGATTTGTCACCTTCATAGTAGATCTAGGCGGTGACATATCTTCTTGTGGATTGTTACTTTGTGGACTAGCACGTTCAAAATATGTAATTTCAAAAATGTGTAATTGTTTATCTAGTACAAAGCAGGGTTCATATATTTATCTCATTACATGTAATATATTCTCGTCCTTGTTTGTATGTAATAACTGCCATTGGCTGTAGAACACACCAATCCGTCCTATTGGTCCGGGTTGTAAATTAGTTTTTGATTCTTTTCTTATATATCGTTTGTAAGCTAAAACTTTCAAATAGTTTATCCTCAGGCATTATGCAGCTTTATACTGCTCCGTTGTTCATTAACAAGATTTTTGCACTGAGGAGAGTGGACTGTACACTACACCCGCATAATCATTACTAGTTAGGTTTTTTAAACTTTAAAAACAGTTTTGGTATATGATGTTTTAATATTTTATAATCGGTTTGCTTTGTGTATATTGTTGTATTGTTTGCCTTCAACCCCTCGGGGGTATAAATGACTATGTGCATTTCTTAATAAAATGATTAATTACTGAATAGAGAGACATTCATTAATGTCGAAATGCTCGATCATCTAATGCAGTAAAACATATGGAACTGAGACTATAAAGGCGTTACTGGGTTAATCTTAACTGGACACCCTTTTACACGCATTTTCAATCATCCCCGAATGTCATTATAACATAATGCTATTGTCATGGTTTGTAGACCTATGCTTGGCTAAATATTAAAATCTCTATTCGTTCGTAGTATGCAAATTAGCCAATACACATTTACAAGGACATTGACCTATTTGATGCCGTAATGTGTATTGCCTAAAAGCTGATTACACAATACAGTTCATTCACCGATCGGCCTGCAAGGTGCTCGTGAGCGCCACCTATTGGTTTGTAAATATAGTTCATACACAAAAAATAGTGCCTCCAGTTTAAGTAGTATAGATACGATTTAACTACATAAATGTATAAACTAATAATAGGTTTTTTACTCAAAAGATACAATGTTTGTTATAGTACAATTTAATCCGTGTATATAAGCCTTTATTGGTTGATAGAGTAAGAAATGAATATTATAATCAGATCAATAAATGTGAGTGCTGCGTGACCTGGTGGCACAGAAGAAAAGTTATTTTTGGAAATCGGACGGATGTTGCTTTCTTGTGCTTGATTATTTAGGTCGATCTGGGTGATATTAGGGAAGTTACATATATGAATAGGTCAAATAATGTCAACTATCATGAAAGGTTGGTATATTTATTTTTATTTCTTTGATGCTTTTATGACCACACTTCCTTAAATCTGACTTGAAATGCATACGTGTTTTGAGAAAATGGCGCTAAAAGTTGAGCAGCCATGTGTTTAGATTTTGACACAGATTTTTCCCATTGCGAAAAAATATGCATAAACATGCTTTAGTGCATTTAAATTATAAATTATTGTGTAAACTTTGAACAGCGAAAATAACTTCCAACATTTGCTTGCATGTGTAATTTTTATCAATTAACCAAGTCCATATCCTAAACGTTTGCGCCAGCTGTATTTTGCAGAGGATTTGACACACCCCCTATTTCACGAGTGTAAAAAATTAGCCATAACCAGCTGACATTGTTGGTCTTTTTCATCTACATTTATACTGTTTTAAGGGATTGTAGATCATGAATGACGTTTTATTGGCAAACTTTCAGTAAAGTTTATCAGTCAAACGTCTTTGTTTACATTGATTTTTGAGTAAGATAATCTCCGCTTTTGATAGTGTTGGACGAGTCCATTTCTAAGCAGGGAGTTTATCAAATATCTTTAAACTGGGACAGTTTTCTTCCATGAAATTTTTAAATTACCTTGATCAAATATATTATGTATCTGAGTGAATGGGTTTTTTTCAAATATACACATACACTTTTATATGACACCTAATATAAATACTAGACATTGTTTTATTTAATTTACATGTTGCATAAAACTTTTTACTTTTATAATAAATGGTATTCTTTGAGAATATTCACAAAATCACAAAAAATATATACCCTGGTATCATAGTCCAAGTAATTATGATTTGAAATAGCCACAATTGCATAATTATCTGGTAACATTGATGCCTTCCTGTTAAAATAAGTTATTTTTAAATTCATACATGACTAACATTGAAAGTCTTCCACTTGAATGAATAATTTGGTTGTTAGTGTAAAAGACAACATGAATCTTAAACTCTTTATGACCATATGTAGCAAAGCACTTTTTTAGAATTTATTTTAAACATCTAGATTAATTCACAACCTTGTTTTATTTTTTTCCACTAATAATTCACATTTTTAAGTTTAATGATACTGTGATTCCAGTCTGCACCATTAGCCACTAGTCTGATGCCCCAGACTAGTTAAAGTTTATTCAGACTAGTAAGTATTTGCAAATATTTGTTTTTAATCATATGAAAATTGTCTGAATATTGGTCTATATAGCTAGTAGTTGGAAAAGATTTTGGTGAAGACTGTGGTTTCCAATAAGACTTACTTTTATACAGAAGTTCAAAGGTAGTCCTTTTCTCCAGGTCCCATCTATTCACATTTTGCAAACATCATATCCATGATGATGTCAAAAAGTGCACCCCTCTAAAATTTGCAAAGCATGGGTTGTCCTCAGCCTAATAAAGAATATTTCGATAATTTTACCTAAAAAAATTTCGCTCGCTCTGCTCTGCAAAAATTTAAGTTTGCACCTTCCCTAACCTAAAATCCTGGAACCGCCCCTGATTTGCTTAAGTCAGCTTTGTTTAAGACCAGACTGATGAGGTATGACTTTTCAACCACAAAGTTGAATTGAAGTACATGTATCAACTACTGTTGATAAAGAAACTTTTGCTTGTATTTATTATTGCAATTTTTTGAACAAAAGTCACAGATGCAAGATTAATTATTGAAATTTCAGTAAAAGCTATACAAATAATGACATCAAAATTTAAAATGCGAGTTTTAAATCTTGCTAATCCTATTTCACATCACAAATTTGGGAATAATAAACACCTTCAAAAAATCTGATACTGTACATCAGAACTTCAGTAATTGGACCTGCTCACCAGCAAATATTTAGTAATTAAAGTCACTGGACCAATAAGTTTTTTTTAAACTTCCTGGTTAGTAGATGTACAATTTGTTTGTAATACATATAGTAACAGTCTTTTGGTTTTAATTGGATCCAGTAGACATTTACATGTAACATGACTTGTTTTGTTAAAAAATGTATTCTAAAGTACAGTTCCGGTGGACTTTGTCATTTCCATTGGCCTATGCTTGGCAGTCAACCAGTGTCCATTCAGATTTAAAGAACAAGTACAATGTATGATATGGTGACAATATAAATTGCAAAAGCTTACATGAAATTAATTTTTCGAAGGTACATGTACATGTTCATGTTGTATGGAATAAATTGATGTCACATCATCTTCACTAAGTAGTAGAGTGGACCAGACCATCGCAAGGATATGTCGTCTATATAGAGCTACTACCTTTGGAGAAGTTACAAGTTGAAAAACTTGTGTCTAATCAGTTTGTCCTTTTTGAACAATATAGGTTGAAACTAAACTGGACAGTTGTAAATAATCCCAAAAAAAAAATCACCTACACTATGATTTACATTTAATTTTATACCTAATATCCATATATTCACAGGGAACTCGGTGGCAAAGTGGTCTAAGTAGTTAATCTATTGTATCACTAGTCTGTCAACAATGAGTTTGAACCCTGCACGTGGAAGGTGTGTTCGATTCCAATCTTATTTAATGGTTGCAACTTTTCCTGCAGAAGGTCTTGATTCTCTCTAGGCACTCCAGTTTCCTAGGCCTCAATGATATAGTCAATAGTACTGAAAGTGACGTTAAACACCAGCAATCAATTAATCAATATTCAATTATTTCATTCCAGAAAATTCTTCATTTCCAAAAAGTGAGCCAAATCAGAATGTTAGTTATAGCATGGAACAAGGAGAAAATCAAACAACTTCACCAACTTTCTCGATGCCAAAACCTGAAAATGTATCCGCTGCTTTTGAAAGCATCAAAGGTAACTGAAAATGTAATTTCAATCATTGAAAAGAACTGGATTACTTTAAAATTAATTTCTACTACTTGTCCGCTACCTGCTGTTGTTTATTTTCCCACTTATCAAAGTAAGTATAATACAGCATTCCAAGGTCAAATAAAGTATTCATGTTCCCAGCTACTCATTGCTAAGTGTCATTTTTGCACAGGTCAAACAAATACTTATATTACATACTCTATTTTCTATGTCTTAAATTGTCTACCCTTGTAAGTATTATTGGCACTTTTCATAGTGAGTCATGACAAACAATTGCTCCATTTACTGAAGGTCAAGAAAATGAGCAATGTGAAGTACATTTATTCTAGCTGGAAAAAACCTTAAACACAGATACTTTCTTGTTTGGCTTATATTAATTTGGTATAGTTTTAAAAAGTAACAGTTATTGCGATACATGTACATTGTACTGTTTAAAGTTTTAAGACTTTGTCTTGATTATCTCTTGAATATTTCTGACAATGCCACATTCCAGTTGGGTGGAATTAGAGACGGTATCTCTTTTAAGACTTTGTCTTGATTATCTCTTGAACATTTCAGACAATGCCACATTCCAGTTGGGGGGAATTAGAGACGGTATGTATCTCTTTTAAGACTTTGTCTTGAATATCTCTTGAACATTTCAGACAATGCCACATTCCAGTTGGGGGGAATTAGAGATGGTATCTCTTTTAAGACTTTGTCTTGATTATCTCTTGAACATTTCAGACAATGCCACATTCCAGTTGGGGGGAATTAGAGATGGTATCTCTTTTAAGACTTTGTCTTGATTATCTCTTGAACATTTCAGACAATGCCACTTTCCAGTTGGGTGGAATTAGAGATGGTATCTCTGCTCAGATGTTACAACAGCTGACACCAGAACAACAGCAAATGTTGATAGCAGAAGCTGTATCTAAAGCAATGGTGTCCAATACAGAAAATATGAAAGGTATACAAAAAATAAAAATAGGTAAATTAGGGTAATGGTTCTATTTAACACTGTCGAATGAAAGATCGTTGGTGCTTTATATCAGAACTTTCTCAGGTTTGTGTCTCGCCTTGACGGAGTCAAAAAGCAAGACATAGGTACAATGTATGCTGTTTCCGGCGTCGGTGACGGCAGTGGAGTCAACAATGTATTAGTTTGTGATTAGGTCAATTTATGGGGAACCACTAGTGGTAGGTCAATGATATTTAGTATGCAGTTGTATTAGCATTGGCACATCTCATTTCCATGGAGATTATTTGGCTTCTCATCTTAGTCATGGTTTATAGACTTTGAAAAATTTGCTAAGTTAACATGTATTAGTTTGTGATTAGGTCAGTTCAAGGGGAACCATTAGTGATAGGCCAATGTTAATTGGTGTTCAGTTGTATAAGCATTAGCACATCTCATTTCCATGGAGAATATTTGGCCCCGTCCCCTCAGTCATGGTCTATTTACTTTGAAACTTTTGCTTACTTTACATGTATTAGTTTGTGATTAGATCAGTTTAAGATGAACTGCTAATGTTAAGTCAATGATATTTGGTATACATGCAAATTTATTGGCATTTGCAAGTATCGTTTCCATGGAAATTATATAACCCCACCCCTGATCATGGTTCATTGACTTTGAAACTTTTACATAGTTTACAAGTTAGTGTTTGTGTTTAGGTTTGTTTAAAGGGAACGACTTATAATAAGTCAATGGTATTTGGTATGCAGTTGTATTAGTATTGGCACATCTCATTCCATGGAGATTGTTTAGCAATGTACCTTCAGTCATGGTTCATCGACTTTGAATATTTGCATAACTTACATGTTAAAGTATTGCTATTTTAATTTCAACATTTGCATTATCAAAATTTCAAAAAGACGAGACATATCTCTGTGATAACAGTTTATTAAAAATATGTACGGTGCAGATGACAACAGAGTCAATGTTTAAGATAGTTCTAGCTAGTGTTCATGAGTGGTACACTGAATTAGAATTGCTGGTGTTCATCGCTACACTCAGAAATAGGTTGATTGCTGGTGATTTAAAGTGATGCACACATGATTTAAGCCTTGTCAAATATGACGCATCAAAGATAAAGATTTATTTTAGAGAGAATCACTCACATAGCTGCATTCTCTGAAAATCTCACCACCATGATTTGGCATTTACACCTGCCTATCATGACCACACACACATTCCACTCAACTTAACTTCAAATTTTGACAAATATTTTTTACAAAATCACATCTAATTTTAATGTTTTTATACGACCGCAAAAATTGAAAATTTTTTGGTCGTATATTGGTATGACGTTGGCGTCGTCGTCGTCGTCGTCGTTGTCGTCGTCGTCGTCTGGCGTCGTCCGGCGTCGTCCGAAGACACATTGGTTTTCGCACTCTAACTTTAGTTTAAGTGAATGGATCTCCATGAAATTTTACCATAAGGTTCAATACCACGAAAGGAAGGTGGGGATTGATTTTGGGGGTTATGGTACCAACAGTTAAGGAATTAGGGGCCAAAAAGGGGCCAAAAATAAGCATTTTTGTAACTTCCAGACAATAACTTGTGTGTAAGTGTATGGATCTCTCTGACATTGTACCACAAGGTTCCATATCACAAAGGGAAGGCTGTAATTGATTTTGGGGGTAATTGCCTCAAAATTTTAGGAATTAGGGGCCAAAAAAGGGGCAAAAAACAAGCATTTTTCTAGTTTCATGACAATAACTTGTGTGTAAGTGTTTGGATATTTCTGAAATTGTACTACAAGGTTCCATATCACAAAGGGAAAGCTGGAATTGAGTTTGGGGGTAATTGCCCGAAACGTTTAGGAATTGGGGGCCAAAAAGGGGCCAAAAATAAGCATTTTTCTAGTTTCCAGACAATAACTTGTGTTCAAGTGTATGGATCTCTCTGAAATTGTACTGCAAGGTACCATACCACAAAGGGAAGGCTGGGATTGAGTTTGGGGGTGATGAATCATAAGGGGGTTCAAAAAATTTGGGGGGGGGGGATTTTTTTTTTTCTTTTTTTTTCTTTTTTTCCTTTTTTTTTTCTTTTAAAATTTTCCATTTTAAGTTGGTTATTTCTGATTAATATTTAAAAGCAAATAATAATGATATGGTAGGAGATACACACCAAACAGGATGTGTAAATTATTATATAATAAGTATTGTGCAATAGCAAGAAATTTTCAATTGCACAGTATTGCACAATTGCAAGAAATCTTCAATTGCACAGTATTGCGCAATAGCAAGAAATCTTCAATTGCACAGTATTGCGCAATAGCAAGAAATATCCAATAGCACAATATTGCGCAATAGCAAGAAATTGTCAATTGTACAGTATTGCACAATAGCAAGAAATATTCAATTGCACAGTATTGTGCAAAAGAAGATACTTCGTATAAATTGCTTATTTCTTGATCAATTTCAATGGGGTTTTATTCTTGAATTCTTGGGGTTCTTTAATATGCTGAATCTAACCGTGTATTAAGTTTTTGGATTTTGGGCCCCGTTTTTAAATTGGTCCACATTAAGGTCCAAAGGGTCCAAAATTTAACTTTGTTTGATTTCATCAAAAATTGAATTATTGGGGTTCTTTGATATGCCGAATCTAACCGTGTATTTAGATTCTTAATTTTTGGTTCCGTTTTCAAATTGGTCTACATTAAGGTCAAAAGGGTCCAAAATTAAACTTAGTTTGATTTTAACAAAAATTGAATTTTTAGGGTACTTTGATATGCTGAATCTAAACATGTATTTAGATTTTTGATTATGGGCCCAGTTTTCAAGTTGGTCCAAATCGGGGTCCAAAATTAAACTTTGTTTGATTTCAACAAAAATTGAATATATGGGGTTCTTTGATATGCTGAATCTAACCATGTATTTAGATTTTTGATTTTTGGGCCCCGTTATCAACTTCGTCCACATTGAGGTCAAAAGGGTCCAAAATTAAACTTTGTTTGATTTCATCAAAAATTGAATTGTTGGGGTTCTTTTGATATGCCAAATCTAACCGTGTATTTAGATTTTTAATTTTGGGTCCTGTTTTTAAATTGGTCTACATTAAGGTCCAAAGGGTCCAAAATTAAACTTAGTTTGATTTTAACAAAAATTGAATTCTTGGGGTTCTTTGATATGCTGAATCTAAACATGTGTTTAGATTTTTGATTATGGGCCCAGTTTTCAAGTTGGTCCAAGTTGGGGTCCAAAATTAAAATTTGTTTGATTTCAACAAAAATTGAATATATGGGGTTCTTTGATATGCTGAATCTAAACATGTATTTAGATTTTAGATTTTTGGCCCAGTTTTCAAGTTGGTCCAAATTGGGGTCCAAAATTAAACTTTGTTTGATTTCAACAAAAATTGAATATATGGGGTTCTTTGATATGCTGAATCTAACCATGTATTTAGATTTTTTATTTGTGGACCCCCTATCAAATTGGTTCATATTGAGGTCAAAAGGGTCCAAAATTAAACTTTGTTTGATTTCATCAAAAATTGAATTATTGGGGTTCTTTGATATGCCAAATCTAACCGTGTATTTAGATTTTTAATTTTGGGTCCTGTTTTTAAATTGGTCTACATTAAGGTCCAAAGGGTCCAAAATTAAACTTAGTTTGATTTTAACAAAAATTGAATTCTTGGGGTTCTTTGAAATGCTGAATCTAAACATGTGTTTAGATTTTTGATTATGGGCCCAGTTTTCAAGTTGGTCCAAGTTGGGGTCCAAAATTAAACTTTGTTTGATTTCAACAAAAATTGAATATATGGGGTTCTTTGATATGCTGAATCTTAACATGTATTTAGATTTTAGATTTTTGGCCCAGTTTTCAAGTTGGTCCAAATTGGGGTCCAAAATTAAACTTTGTTTGATTTCAACAAAAATTGAATATATGGGGTTCTTTGATATGCTGAATCTTACCATGTATTTAGATTTTTTATTTGTGGGCCCGCTATCAAATTGGTTCATATTGAGGTCAAAAGGGTCCAAAATTAAACTTTGTTTGATTTCATCAAAAATTGAATTATTGGGGTTCTTTGATATGCCAAATCTAACCGTGTATTTAGATTTTTAATTTTGGGTCCCGTTTTTTAAATTGGTCTACATTAAGGTCCAAAGGGTCCAAAATTAAACTTAGTTTGATTTTAAAAAAAATTGAATTTTTGGGGTTCTTTGATATGCTGAATCTAAACATGTGTTTAGATTTTTGATTATGGGACCAGTTTTCAAGTTGGTCCAAGTTGGGGTCCAAAATTAAACTTTGTTTGATTTCAACAAAAATTGAATATATGGGGTTCTTTGATATGCTGAATCTAAACATGTATTTAGATTTTAGATTTTTGGCCCAGTTTTCAAGTTGGTCCAAATTGGGGTCCAAAATTTAACTTTGTTTGATTTCAACAAAAATTGAATATATGGGGTTCTTTGATATGCTGAATCTCACCATGTATTTAGGTTTTTTATTTTGTGGGCCCGCTATCAAATTGGTTCATATTGAGGTCAAAAGGGTCCAAAATTAAACTTTGTTTGATTTCATCAAAAATTGAATTATTGGGGTTCTTTGATATGCCAAATCTAACCGTGTATTTAGATTTTTAATTTTGGGTCCCGTTTTTTAAATTGGTCTACATTAAGGTCCAAAGGGTCCAAAATTAAACTTAGTTTGATTTTAACAAAAATTGAATTCTTGGGGTACTTTGATATGCTGAATCTAAACATGTGTTTAGATTTTTGATTATGGGACCAGTTTTCAAGTTTGTCCAAGTTGGGGTCCAAAATTAAACTTTGTTTGATTTCAACAAAAATTGAATATATGGGGTTCTTTGATATGCTGAATCTAACCATGTATTTTGATTTTGGACATTGGACCATAATAGGTAAATTAAAAAAATTTAAGTTCTTAGACCACATTCTTTCTGTGTCAGAAACCTATGCTGTGTCAAATATTTAATCACAATCCAAATTCAGAGCTGTATCAAGCTTGAATGTTGTGTCCATACTTGCCCCAACTGTTCAGGGTTCGACCTCTGCGGTCGTATCAAGCTGCGCCCAGCGAAGCATTTTATTTCTTTTGTTGAAAGTTGGAAAGAAAAAACATCAATTACACTCTCATGATTGACAGATAGAAATGACAATATATAATTATCGATTACAGCTTTTCTATAAAATCATGCAAAGCAAACCTTTGATCAACTTGCTTGCTATGTTTGTTTGGATGTTTTTTAAACAACAGGTAGGTAGTCTATTTCAGTCTGTTTACTATATACTAGAATTTGATTAGATAATAAACATTAACTTTATTTAAATGTTAAGTTTCACATTGTATGTCAATTTTTATTGTCCCATCAAATACCAGTATATATTGAACAGTCTGAAACTCTGCCTACCCTTTTGTTAACAAACATCCAAGCAAACATAGCAAGCAAATTGATCAAAGGTTTGCTTTGCATGCTTTTATAGAAAAGCTGTAATACAATTTGAGCAAAATATCATCAAGCTATTTCCTTTTTGACACTATGTTGGAATTCTATTTTCACAAATTTCTACATATATCAGCCAAATTCAACTTGTTACACTTCAAACTTAAACGCTAGAATTTGAGAAAAAAGCTGTTTTTTGAACAATTTAAACTTCTTTAAGCCTTGTTTAGTTAATCTCTATAATCTAGTAAGGATCTCTTATCAGAGTGTATACCACATGTTTCAATGTGGCTAGTCAATTCAGGAAAAAAACCAATATATGCACCTCTAAAATGGCTGCCAAAGGAAATAACTCAAAACTTAAAGTATGTCATATTCAAACTTATCCATACCCACCTGAGCTGTCGTGGTCATTTTGTAGGAAATTAGAAATTACTTCTGTAATTGAGTTTATATCATCTATTAGATATATTTGCAATGTGGTGAAAGTATCTGTAACAAAAGAATAATATATACAAAATGATCTTAAAAGTCTTCTAGTTCAAGTTTACATGTCTAAAACCATCAAAATCAATAATTTTTTTTGTATTTAAAAAGTTCGCTTGCACTGCAGCGATATAGACGAATAATATATACAAAATGTTCTGAAAATCCTAGTCTCATTTGTTGTTGACAAGATGTGTATAATAAGAATACTTTCTAAATTTCAGACAATGGCAATTTTCAGCTATTGGTCAGCAGGGAACAATCAGAACTACTTCTACAGCAGGCTGCATCACAGATCTCGCCTCAGTATACAGATGCCGAGATGGTGTCTAAAGCTAGTGATCTTAAAGGTACACCTTCTTTTTAGCTCACCGGGCCCAAAGGGCCCCATGTGAGCTTATGCCATCACTTTGCGTCCGTCGTCGTAAACTATTTCAAAAATCTTCTCTGAAACTACTGGGCCAAATACCTTCAAACTTTAAATGAATATTCCTTTGGGTGTCTAGTTTATAAATTGTATCCGAAATTTTGATCCATCAACAAACATGGCCGCCATGACTAAAAATAGAACATAGGGGTCAAATGCAGTATTTGGCTTATATCTCAAAAAGTAAAGCATTTAGAGCAAATCTGACAGGGGGTAAATATGTTAAACAGGTCAAGATCTACCAGCCCTAAAAAAATTTCAAACAAATCAAACAAACCATTGTTGGGTTGCTGCCACTAAATTGGTAATTTTCTGTCTTACTATTTTATAAATCTTCTCCTCTGAAACTACTGGGCCAAATACCTTCAAACTTTAAATGAATATTCCTTTGGGTGTCTAGTTTATAAATTGTATCCAAAATTTTGATCCATCAACAAACATGGCCACCATGACTAAAAATAGAACATAGGGGTCAAATGCAGCTTTTTGCTTATATATCAAAAAGTAAAGCATTTAGAGCAAATCTGACAGGGGGTAAAAATGTCAAACAGGTCAGGATCTACCAGCCCTGAAATTTTCAAACAAATCAAACAAACCATTGTTGGGTTGCTGCCACTAATTTGGTAGTTTTCGTCGTCTCTCGTAAACTATTTCAAAAATCTTCTCTGAAACCACTGGGCCAAATACATTCAAACTTTAAATAAATGTTCCTTAGGGTATCTAGGCTAAAATTGTATCCGAAGTTTTGATCCATCAACAAACATGGCCGCCATGGCTAAAAATAAAACATAGGGGTCAAATGCAGTTTTTGGCTTACATCTCAAAAACTAAAGCAATTAGAGCAGACGTGAAAGAGAGTTAGAGTGATGATTAGGCAAATATTTATCTATTATGAAATTTTCATGCCAATTGGAGAATTTTGAGAATTTATTGTTGGGTTACTGTTAGTAGTTATTTGTTAGGACATTATAGATTTTGATTATTTTCTTGAAAATTATAGTAGATAAGAAGAAAGTGTAAATGAGAAAAATAGTATTGATCTATCTGCATGAACATGTTCAGAACAAATTGCCAATCTGTTGTTGGGTTGCTGTAGGAATTTTTTTTTTTGGGAGAAATTATAGTTTTGGTTATTTCCCTTGAAAGATTTATTTTTCACAATTTTCTTCTTGAATCATTACTTTTTCCCTGAAACTATAAGACTTAATTCAACTCCTTATCACCAGGTTTACTTATAGATACATGTAATAGATCAACTTAGAATTTTGTTCCAATACAATGATTTTTAACAAATAGGGGATTATGTATTGCCATGCAATACTCACAGAGTTCTTGTTATATTTCATCTCTTAAGCACTAAGAACATACCAGTAACTTAGATATTTATTTTGAGGCATATATGACCCCCCCCCCCCCCCCTCCCATCCCAAAAAAAAGAAAGATGCATTTTTAAGCAAACACCGATATACATTATTACTCAAAAATATAAATCATGATTGATGAATGAATTAAGCTTTAGCAAATCAAGTGAGCGATTCAGGCTCTTAAGAGCCTCTTGTTAGGGTGGGGATAATTGCTGGAAACGTCTACATTTCAAATTTAGAATTTACGTTTGATTATTCAGACCTTTCAAGGCAAGATATAAAGGTAATACACATTGTTCTTAAGGTGTAATACCACCATTGATTTTCCCCTATTAGTCTTTGTTAAATTTGCAATTTTAAAAAAAATTGTGCAGAATTTGTCTTTGTTTCCAATAAAGAAATACTTGGCATGAGTAAAGTTTTATCCTATCCAGTACTATAGAAAAAATTTCACATAACATTTCATTGCATATAAGAAAATAACCATCACTGGGAGTTAACCAATCAAATTTTCCCCTTTTATTAATCTGTGTACAAGCTTTAGTAACCATGTAACCTCAAGTTTTCAAAATATTCTATAGAAACCCCAAATAAAAAAAATAATGGTGCTTTTAAATACCCAAGATATATGTTTATGACCCAGAAATGTTTTACTGCAATGAAATGTAGGATTAATTACCTACAACTGTCAAATTCAAGGGAATATTTTTTTTCGACCTTTTTTCGTATGCAACTGGATGTGACATACTATGATTTGGTGGTATTACACCTTAACGGGAAATAGGCAATCACTGCTAGTTATAATAAGCATGAACACAACTAATGATTGAATTTGCAATTAAAATTAAATGGTTGGGGGCATAGGTAAGTAAGTGCCTCCAAACCCATATATGTACATTTAAGAGATAACTATTTTATTTGAAACTTGGTCTACGTTAAATGCCGGTTTTACTGTCACAAATAAAATTTACCTAGCCACGTGTAGCAGAGCTGGTAAATGGATATTTGCAACAGTAAATTCAAGTTTTACCTAGGCCAAGCTTCAAATACAATTAGATTATCTATATTCTAAAGCAAAATAAACAAATCAGTCCGTTTCAGTTATTATTTTGATGTGAAATTTCATAAAACGAAAATTCTGCAAAATGATGTTATTGTCTTTGGCAACTAAACAAGGTGACATCACATGTATGCTTCGCAGTGATTTTGCTAGCGCTCGTCATTTACGAAACGGTTTTCAAAATGACGAAAGTATTCCAAATCAATTTCGTCACTTAAATTTGGAAAGAGTAAATATATTTTCGCATGAAAATACTATGATTCTACTGGTCTTATTGTTTCTGACAAGTTTATGACCCTCAGCTAATTAAAATTTACAGCAGGTGTTATAAGTTGTGATTTACAGATAATCCCGCTTGATCGCCATGGGATGGGTCACTTATCCGTTAATTATTTAATCAACCTCATAATTGATCATCAAAATTATTTTTGTTTCCCCAGTAAAATCAGTCAGTCCGCATTTCAATTTCAAACGAGAACAATTTGCAGTTCTTTTGTCGTAGTTTCGTCATTTGAGTTTTCCCATGGACAGTTGGCATTTTAATTTCAATATTTCTCAAACGATCACAATTTGCAGTTCGCTTGTCGTAGTTGCGTCAAATGAATGTATTTTCGTCATATTTGATATAACTTTTAATCAAAAACTTTCGACAATTTCGATTAATAAGATAGAACTTTATTCATAACATTCAGAAATGTTTTCACAAGTCAAACAGGTGCTTCCTTTACGATGAACTGCGCGTGCGCGAAAGTATTCTTATGAATTTAAAGACACTCAAACGTAAAATACCAAATATTTAAGTATCAAACTAAACGAGAGAGACAAATATAGTTCTTATTTAGCAAATTTAATTTAAAAAATGATAATTTCCTGCCTTTTTTAAACACGAACCAATCCGTAGATGAATCTGGATTCATTCTGAATTTATTATCCACTTGTCACTTCCCGTTTTTGTCGAGCCTGCGACAAAGCTCGACATAGGGATAGTGATCCGGCGGCGGTGTTAGCTATCTTCTTAAAAGCTTTACATTTTAGAAGCTAGAAGACCTGGATGCTTCATACTTTGTATATAGATGCCTTATGTTACAAAGTTTCCATCTGTCATATGTCCATTGTCCTTGACCTCATTTTAATGGTTCAGTGACTACTTATAAAGTCAACATTTTTTGTAATGTTAATTTCTTTCTTATTATGAGTAATAGGATAACTATATTTAGTATGTGCGTATCTTGCAAGGTCCTCATGCCCTTCAGACAATTTTCATTTGACCTCGACCCCATTTCATGGATCAGTGAACAAGGTTAAGTTTTCGTGGTCAAGTCCATATATCAGATACTTTAAGCAGTAGGTCTACTATATTTGGTATATGGAATGATTGTAAGGTGTACATGTCCAACTGGTAGGTGTCTGACCTTGACCTCATTTTCATGGTTCAGTGGTCAAAGTTAAGTTTTTGAGTTTTGGTCTTTTTTTCTAATACTATATGCAATAGGTCAACTATAAATGGTGTATGGACATATTTTATGATGTACATGTCAGTCGCACAGGTTTTATTTGACCTTGACCTCATTTTCATGGTTCATTTCTTAGTGTTAAGTTTTGGTGTTTTGGTCTGTATTTCTAATACTATAAGCAATAGATCAACTATATTTGATGTATGCAAGGATTGTAAGGTGTATATGTCTGTCTGGCAGGTATCATCTGACCTTGACCTTATTTTCATGGTTCATTGGTCAATGTTAAGTTTTCATGGTTAAGTTTGTTTCTTAGATACTATAAGCAATAGGTCAACTATATTTAATGCCTAAATTGATTTTAAGGTGTACATGTCTGTCTGGCATGGTTCATCTGACCTTGACCTCATTTTCATGGTTCATTGGTCAATGTTAAGTTTTCTTGTTTAAGACTGTTTCTTAGAAACAATAAGCAATAGGTCAACTATGTTTGGTTTATTGAATGATTGTAACATGTACATGTATTTATCGTTTGGTTTATCTGACCTTGACCTCATTTTCTTGGATCATGTTAAGTTTATGTGTTACTTATAGTAAAGCTTTGTATTTAGGACTATCAACATTAAATCAATGGTTAGTAAAGAAGGCGAGACATTTCAGCGTGTGCACTCTTGTCATTTCATTTGGAAATCGAAAGTAAACGTGATCTATTCATGATAAATTTACAATTTAAACATGTTAAAGTCATTAGAATTGTTCCAATAAGGATTTGTACAAATCCTTGGTTCCAACTTTATAGAATTAATTAAAACGTTTTCAAGGATAATGAGTATGAATAATGCAGTGAAATAGTCCTTACAAGTTCATTTATGCTGTGATTCCTGGTTTTAAAAAAAAATGGATCCCAACTTTTGCTGATTAGGAATGTACCCTGAAACTAACTGAAGTGAAATTGTGAACTAGATTTCTAGATCTTCTATCCTTATCTTCATATTAAAAGTGCCACATCAGTCAAATCATGCAGTAACTGCCTAGTATGCCAAATCCTTTAAAGTCTGACAAAGATGTATAGATAGTCATATACATCCTAGGTACCTTGCTGCTACCCAAAATAAGGTTGATTTTCATCCCCCACAAAAGTGACTAAAGCCCTCAAAATCCTAGCTTAAACCCTGATGCTTCGGGTGTTAAATGTAAACGCTGGGCATTTTCAAGCTTCTTGTACACCTCATAATGTTTAAATAAGTCAGCTATACTGTGTGATGCGTTTTCAGATTCATCACTCAACAACTTCCTGTTTACCGAACACTTGTATCATTTTACACATGATAGCCAAGTTGAAAATTTTCGTCACATTTTTCTCAGGAACTACAATACAAGGATTTCTGAAATTTGGTTTCAGGGTTTATATAAGTCATCTATACAGTGTGATGCGTTTTCAGATTCATCACTCAACAACTTCCTGTTTACCGAAATATTTGGGCGGGGTATCATCAGTGAGCAGTCGCTTGCAGTTTCACTTGTTAATAATGAACAATAAGTAAGCTTGATAACCACATTTCTTTATATTTTCAGAGAGTATCTCCCATCAGCAGTCTGGTACCGGTGACCAGTCCGGTCAGTTACATATACAGTTACCTTCACCAACAACTGGTTTCAGTTTAAAGAATGATGTCAAAAGTTTTGTGGATAGTAGTAGCCCACGTAAACCACATGAAAATATGAAAGGTAAATAAACGTATTTACACTTTTGGTATTTAGCTATATATTGCCTCCGAATGACCTTAGATCTACTCCGAATCACTTTTTGACGTCAGACAACAATCACTTTTTAATTGTGACGTCAAATGTTTTGAATTATGAAGTTTACGGGAACCTGTGTGATTTTACGTAATGGCGGACAAATTTGCATACAAGTGTAAATACGTCTATTGTTTTCTCTTTTGTTTATAGAAGGACAAAGATAATACTAATTGATGGTGTTTTTCAACGAAATTTATGAATGGTTGAAAAGTTAAGATTTTGGTGTTTGATTTATAATGGAAGCATACAATCCTGTTGACCTGCATATATTAATGTGATTTGCCTCGTCATCCAATTGTTCAAATGCATGTAGCCCATGTCAATCTACATGCATGAATGATCTCCCATGATGACAAGTACAATGAGGAAATAACGTGAGATCGTAATATCTTGTTCAAAGTGAAAGTATATCACTGAAAATGCCGGGTTCATGGAAATAAAGATTCTTTTGTTCTGCAGGGGATAAGTATGTGAATAATAGTTACATACTAGTGGAGTAAAATTAAAAAGGAATCAGATGATTAATTTATTGGAGAAAATAGAATTTTACAGGAGTCTTTCAAATGCAAAATTTCTGAAGAGCTTCCAATGTTAAACTTTGGAATGACTAGATTATTCACCTAGCATAAACATAAATTTTGAAGTGTTTATTATTTATTTTTGATAAGTGCCTTTCAGGGATATTCCATTAAAATGGACAGGGGAGTGTAGAAAGGCAAGTTTTATTTTTGGACATTAGTCATGTGTTATTTATGGTTGTATTTCAATTTGGTATATGCAAATTTATTCTATGAAAGTATGATGGTTGTGGGGAATTTTGTAAATCCCTTCCTTCCCTCAAACATCCATTTTAATGGAATAGTCCTTTAGATTAATTTTACCAATTCAAGTGCATGTAAGTTTGTTTAATCAGATTTGTAAATAAAAGTAATGAATAATCCTTTATAGTATTAAGACTTCAAAGTTTAAATCACATTGGAAATCTAAGTATTTGTTTAGGGCTGATCCAAAGCTGTGAGAAGTGAAGGCTCTTTATTGTAAATATATATATATATCCCGTTAGTATATATGTTTTGTTCAAGGAAAAAGAAGTGTGTGCAAACAATTATTTGATAATACATGCTGTCCACCCCACAGTTATTTTATTTTTGAAATAGTCCAAATATACACTTGTTATGTCTTAACATCAGGTATTAATTTGTGTAAGGGCTGTTCCAAAATTTATCATGTTGGGGAGATGGGGGGCACTCAAAATTAAATAAATATGGGTGGTTGCATTTTCCTTAGAATTTTGTAAGAATTACAAGTAAAATGAAAAGTTTTATTTTATGGGTGGTCAGGGTCTTAAAAAAGTGTCTCCCATGCTGCATCACCATGCTTTAATTCTAGAACAGCCCTAAACAGATTTCTTTTTTTGGTACAAAGGAAGCTTTTGTTTAAGGTTTTGATATTTACCAAGAAGAAAAACTCTAAGAATAAATAAGTACTATTATGGCCAAGTAAAGCATTACATGGATGATAAATGATTTAGAAATGGATGACTCAAACATGAATATTTCTATTCTAATAACATTGATTTAAACTATCATTGCAGCACAAATAGAAGTTATACCATGTAAAGTCTGTGGAGATAAGTCATCAGGAGTCCATTATGGTGTTATTACATGTGAAGGTTGCAAGGTAATTATTTCATTGACTGATTCACCAGCCATAAGCAATACTCCAGTTATAATAAAAGATATACAAGGAATAAACAAAATTTTGCAAATGAATAAGATATATATTTATATGTATAATATGTCTGTGTTGTATTGTTTAATATATGTTACTATTAAACTGTAGTTGACATTATAAATTGTGAACTTATAAATATACCGTGTAACTTGATTTGATTTGATTTGAATAAACAAAAATTGGCAATTGAAAACTAAGATTTCTTGAAATTTTTTTAGGGCTATTCCATTAAAATGTATGTGGGAGGGTAGGAAGGAAAGTTGAATTATTGAATGTGGGTCAAGGGTCTTTTTATTTCAGTATGCGTCTATTACCATTATGCAAAATTATCTAAAAAATGGTTCTTGGTTGTATGGATATTTTGAAAGTTCTTTCCTACCCTCCCACATACATTATAATGGAATAGCCCTTAAATTGTTCTGTTTTTAGTAAAATTACTTTTCCTGATATTTAAGTTAGTGGGAAAGAAATAATAATATTCACAGCAAAACTTACGAGATTTAAATACTAAAATACCTATTGAATGAAACACCATGCCTGTGCTGTATAAAGATAATGATCAGCATTAGTATGATGATCATTGCAGTTGATTTATTTATTTTTGTGTCAGCTGACAACGAATCCATAGGAACACATAGGATCTCTCCTGTCATCGTCGCCTTGTTGTTGTTTTCACATTGTTATTCTACACTTTACTTGACAACCTTCTTGACAGAATTTTAAAAAAACTGTACAAATGTCTTTTTCAGCACATGCAGTTGTGCACTTTCTAGTTTTAATTTTTTGTTCTGATAGATTTTTGGGGTTTTCCATACCAAAAAATGGCTTTCTCCATTTTTGCTTACATTTTTTGGAGATGCAGGCAACACTTTTGTTTTTGTCTTAGAAATGCTGAAGTAATTAGCTGACAATTTATATTTCAGGGTTTCTTCAGGAGAAGTCAGGCAGGACCTGTCAATTATCAGTGTCCAAGGAATAGAAACTGTGTGATAGACAGAGTAAACAGAAATAGATGTCAATTCTGTAGGCTACAGAAATGTCTAGCGCTTGGCATGTCAAGAGATGGTAAGCGTCTGTCATACTGTATAATTTTCGTTGTTATTTTATTTGCGTTTAACTGTTTTTACAGAGATTTATATTCATGATTTTCTTTATTTTGATCATGTATTCATATCAGAAGGGATCCTAAGTTGGTCATATTCGCCACTTTATATATGTTGTGTACATATTGTAATGTTGTACAAATTATAATTTGTACAGACTTTTTATACGACCGCAAAAAAATTTTTGTGGTCGTATATTGGTATGACGTTGGCGTCGTCGTCGTCGTCCGGCGTCGTCCGAAGACACATTGGTTTTCGCACTCTAACTTTAGTTTAAGTGAATGGATCTTTATGAAATTTTACCACAAGGTTCAATACCACAAAAGGAAGGTTGGGATTGATTTTGGGGGTTATGGTAATAACAGTAAAGGAATTAGGGGCCAAAAAGGGGCCAAAAATAAGCATTTTTGTAACTTCCACACATAACTTGTGTGTTAGTGTATGGATCTCTCTGACATTGTACCACAAGGTTCCATATCACTAAAGGAATGCTGGGATTGATTTTGGGGGTAATTGCCTCCAAATTTTAGGAATTAGGGGCCAAAAAAGGGGCAAAAAACAAGCATTTTTCTAGTTTCATGACAATAACTTGTGTGTAAGTGTATGGATCTTTCTGAAATTGTACTACAAGGTTCCATATCACAAAGGGAAAGCTGGGTTTGAGTTTGGGGGTAATTGCCCTAAACGTTTAGGAATTTGGGGCCAAAAAGGGGCCAAAAAACACATTTGTTTCTAGTTTCCAGACAATAACTTGTGTTCAAGTGTATGGATCTCTCTGAAATTGTACTGCAAGGTACCATACCACAAAGGGAAGGCTGGGATTGAGTTTGGGGGTGATGAATCATAAGGGGGTTCAAAAAATTTGGGGGGGGGATTTTTTTTTTTTTCTTTTTTTTTCTTTTTTTCATTTTTTGTTTCTTTTAAAATTTTCCATTTTAAGTTGGTTATTTCTGATTTATATTTAAAATCAAATAATAATGATATGGTAGGAGATACACACCAAACAGGATGTGTAAATTATTATATAATTAGTATTGTGCAATAGCAAGAAATTTTCAATTGCACAGTATTGCACAATAGCAAGAAATCTTCAATTGCACAGTATTGCGCAATAGCAAGAAATCTTCAATTGCACAGTATTGCGCAATAGCAAGAAATATCCAATAGCACAATATTGCGCAATAGCAAGAAATTGTCAATTGTACAGTATTGCGCAATAGCAAGAAATATTTAATAGCACAGGATTGTGCAAAAGAAGATACTTCCTATAAATTGCTTATTTCTTGACCAATTTCAATGGGGTTTTATTCTTGATTTCATGGGGTTCTTTAATATTCTGAATCTAACCGTGTATTTAGTTTTTGGATTTTGGGCCCCGTTTTTAAATTGGTCCACATTGAGGTCCAAAGGGTCCAAAATTAAACTTTGTTTGATTTCATCAAAAATTGAATTATTGGGGTTCTTTGATATGCCGAATCTAACTGTGTATTTAGATTCTTAAATTTTGGTTCCGTTTTCAAATTGGTCTACATTAAGGTCCAAAGGGTCCAAAATTAAACTTAGTTTGATTTTAACAAAAATTGAATTCTTGGGGTTCTTTGATAAGCTGAATCTAAACATGTATTTAGATTTTTGATTATGGGCCCAGTTTTCAAGTTGGTCCAAATCAGGGTCCAAAATTAAACTTTGTTTGATTTCAACAAAAATTGAATATATGTGGTTCTTTGATATGCTGAATCTAACCATGTATTTAGATTTTTGATTTTTGGGCCCCGTTATCAACTTTGTCCACATTGAGGTCAAAAGGGTCCAAAATTAAACTTTGTTTGATTTCATCAAAAATTGTATTATTGGGGTTCTTTGATATGCCGAATCTAACCGTGTATTTAGATTCTTAATTTTTGGTTCCGTTTTCAAATTGGTCTACATTAAGGTCCAAAGGGTCCAAAATTAAACTTAGTTTGATTTTAACAAAAATTGAATTCTTAGGGTTCTTTGATATGCTGAATCTAAACATGTATTTAGATTTTTGATTATGGGCCCAGTTTTCAAGTTGGTCCAAATCGGGGTCCAAAATTAAACTTTGTTTGATTTCAACAAAAATTGAATTATTGGGGTTCTTTGATATGCCGAATCTAACTGTGTATTTAGATTCTTAAATTTTGGTTCCGTTTTCAAATTGGTCTACATTAAGGTCCAAAGGGTCCAAAATTAAACTTAGTTTGATTTTAACAAAAATTGAATTCTTGGGGTTCTTTGATATGCTGAATCTAAACATGTATTTAGATTTTTGATTATGGGCCCAGTTTTCAAGTTGGTCCAAATCAGGGTCCAAAATTAAACTTTGTTTGATTTCAACAAAAATTGAATATATGTGGTTCTTTGATATGCTGAATCTAACCATGTATTTAGATTTTTGATTTTTGGGCCCTGTTATCAACTTTGTCCACATTGAGGTCAAAAAGGTCCAAAATTAAACTTTGTTTGATTTCATCAAAAATTGAATTATTGGGGTTCTTTGATATGCCGAATCTAACCATGTATTTAGATTTTGGATATTGGACCATAATAGGTGAATGTCCAATTTAAAATTTTTAAGTTCTTAGACCACATTCAATCTGTGTTAGAAACCTATGCTGTGTCAAATATTTAATCACAATCCAAATCCAAAGCTGTATCAAGCTTGAATGTTGTGTCCATACTTCCCCCAACTGTTCAGGGTTCGACCTCTGCGGTCGTATCAAGCTGCGCCCTGCGGAGCATTTTATTGTACTAGTTATCAGTGTTTTATGAACTGCTTAACACAAATGGATGATACAAGTTCATAGTCTTCTTTTTTCGCATATTTCTGTCATATTCCATCATGACTACATGATACAGTCTAATACTAAGTATTGATACAAAAAACATTATAAGAACACAAAAAGACTTTTAATGGATATGATTTTGGTTTAAGGAGAAAAATAAAAATAGAATTTAAACCATGTCCTTATTTCCAGTTTTAGGACAAGGAGAATAGCAATAAATGTTAGGTTAAAGTATATAAATTTGAATTTATGACATTAAGCTGATAAATTTTAGAAGATAAACTTTTATCACCTGGGGCAAAAAGGTATGTGTCAAAAAACTTATAACTTGTACAAAAACCCTGTAAAAATTATAATTTGTACAAACTTGCATCTTGTATACAACATATATACATATACATTTTATTTTTCTACCTCATCTACAAAAGTTGCAAAAATAAATAGCTTGGGGAATAATGTTGACAGTTCTTTATACAATCTTTTATAGGTCATATGAGATATTTTAATTTTGTCAAAGGAACTTTAATAATTATTAGGCAGTAATCAGATAGATGCTTGCATGAATTCAAAATTCCTCGAAAATCATATTGAATAAAATTTCATGCATTATATTTAATTTCACAAATGCTATAAACATGATGAATGTTTATAAAATGTTAAAGACTGAAAAAAAGTGTTAACCCCTAGATATCTTACAGTATTTTGGTTTTTTTTTTGGTGTTAAGTCTAATTTTTGACTAGCAATATGTTTAATATGGGTTTAAAATTGTCTGTGAAGACCTATTCTTGCTTAGAATAATTTATTACTTAAGATTTTTGTATACACATCCAAGTTTATTTTTCAGCTGTGAAGTTTGGTAGAATGTCAAAGAAACAACGAGAGAAGGTAGAGGACGAGGCAAACTATGTTAAACAGAATAGACTTAACGGGTTCGATCAAACATCACCGACAGGCATGGTATCACCAAATAACAACAGTCAATTTACTTCTCCAGCGTAAGACAAACATGTTACAATATAATCTAATTCCTGTGTATAGTGGTCACTGTCTACTGTGATCATTTGTATGTATATCTTGTCTTACACAAAATCTTCTTCTTATTCTCTACTTAACAGAAGTAAAACTCTGACATAACACAACCTATGCACAGGTTATTAAATACCATTGAATTTTCTTTTGATTGTTAATCAAACTTTTTTTCTAATATTCATTTTCACTTTAAGAAAGAACAAGTTTCTTTAAAAATTGTATCCATGTGTCAATTTTTTCCATTGTAACTAATAAGTGTTCTTGATTCTACTTTGCTTATAAATAGAACTTCTGTCACTTAATTGATTAGACAATTGAATATATATTTCAATCTTACTGGAACTTGTTGAGTTATTATAAGCTTTTTAAAAAAAATGTCAATGTCCAATATTTTAGACCAAAAAAATATATTACTGTTTCCTGTCTCCATCCAAAAAAATAGGTTTAAATATTCAAGTGGAAACAGGATTGGTAGTCTAGTCAAATGGTACAGAATACTATTTCTTGAATAAAAGTTTTGAAAGGCAATAAAATCTTTAATCCTCAGCAATCAAGCTGAATGTCATATGGGAGGCAGGAAAACAGACATAGGTTTTTTATTTGCTATTTTAGAAATTCAGCAGACATGAATGAGTAATTATTTTGTAAATTTTATATTTTTTTGTAAACCTGACATTTGAACCAAGATCTGAACTGAACTTTAAATTTTTGTCAGTTAAAGTTTAATTGTATTTATATAAAAATGTGCAAGGCTAAATAACCCATCTATATCAATTTGTGATAAATTGTTGTAAAATAATATGTTAGTCTTTTATTTGCTATTTGAATTTAATTTTGAATTTTGTACCATTCCATGTAATACAGTGTATTCAAAGATGCTGCTTGGTCCAATCGATGTTTTGTCCAGTGGACCATTACTATTTACTGGTCCAAACATAATTTTACTAGACTTAAATTATTATATAACTAAAAACTAAGATTTTTGTTAAAAAAATATTACAAGTGAAAGGGATGGTCGGGCCACATCTTTGGTTCCTGGAATTCAAAAATCAAATTTTATTATAAATCTGCCAAATAACAATACTCAGATGTTCATAAGACATTGGTATTTATATATTTACATTTTTTGAATTTTGTCTAACATTTTTGCATTAGGGCACAAAAATTCTTGCATATTGAACAAAAATGGAAAATTTTTGACATGATTATAATGTCATTGTGACATCACAAGGGGGTTTTTCTGCACTCAAAACTACACATGTCAGAACCTTCATTTATTAATTTAATTACCAAAATTTTTTAAGGTGTGAATAATTTTACTACTTGTGCAATTTTAAGGGCCAAAGAATGGTGGCTCTTATCATATATCTCCTTTTTTTTTAGTTCAGATAATTCTTTTAGAAAAAGAATAAAACACAAAGTTGTCACTCTAACAGAATGAATTTTCATCATTCATTAAAAGATAATGAAATATTTTTGTTGTTTTAGGTTTCCAGAGCAACAGAATTTTGTATATACATCTAATGGTTATACCTATGCATTACAATCTCCAATGTCGCCCGAGACTCCAGTCTCGCCCGGTGATCCTCCTGCCTACCCAACTACACCTACAACAGCACCACACCCGGTTGCTTTGCTCAGGGCCATAGATTTGATGGATTCAAGTAAGTTGTTCTTTTTTTTTTAAATGAACAAGTTGTCTGCCCTTTGTAATTTGTTTCAAAAGCGCGGTTCCTTAGAAATATACAAGAGACCCAGGGAAGACACTTTGAAATCTCCAATAGGTTTGGCTGTCAAATACAGTGAACTTGCATTTGTAGTTCAAAATTTGCCTCTTTAGGTGTACACTGATTTTGAAAGGGCTGGCCCTGGGTTTCATGAAGGTTTAAATAAAAGGGCTCTTAAGTTGAAATCTTTGTTCAAATTCAAGATTTATTTTGTAAATGAGTAAGGGATTTCACTTAAAATAATACAGTTTGTAGTCAATTTTGATAACTTTGTTTTTGACGAGTATTAATTCAAAGTTTCAGTTCCTGAGGCCTGTTTTCACGGAACGCCTATTGTTTTGGGGAAAGTTTTTATTATATATTATAGTCTAGATGTTTATAAAATATTTCTTCAGATTTGTCAGATTAATTCCCTACAATGTTGTAAAATGCACAGTTGACAAATTGACAATAGATGTATTTACACTTGTATGCAAATTTGTCTGCCATTACTTAAAACCATGCAAGTTCCCGCAAAGTATTGCATCACAATTTTTAAAAATTGACGTCACAATTAAAAATAATTGTTGCGTTATATCAGAAGATTACTCAGAAACAGATTTAGGGTAATTTGGACACAATTTAGCTAAATATATGTCTTGGGGGGAATTTAATCACAAATGAAGTATTGAAAAGTAAGAAAAGGTACCAAGTATCATGACAATTTTATCTTTTACTTGTATGATATTATTATTTTTGGATATTTCAGGTACATTCAGCAAGGCTGTATTAGATGCCCATCTCAGAACATGTTTATACAGTGCTGATCAGATAGACCTTCTGAAATCCAACCTGCCCTCAACAGAAACAATCAACACATATAAAAATATGGTAGGTTGTTTTGTATGAAAGGTAATATCCACTTATAAAATATCCGATTAGAATAACTGGTCATTTGATGTCAAGAGTTACACTACAGTTCCGAGACCTGTTTCACAAAACATTTTATCATAAGGGATGAACATTTCAGTATAACTTATGATCAATTTTTGTCGTAAGAGTTTGTGTGAAAAAAGCCCAGATGATTTGGTAGGATTCTCACTCAACTTTGAAAAAGGAAAAAATCTGCAATTTTAATGTTTCAAGGATTGTTTCTCCTACAAGCATGCAACATTTAAGAGAAAGAAGAAAGACTGATTGGTTCCAAGTCAGAATAATGTGTCAAGGCAGGGTGACATGTCTTCTGTGGGACGTTTTCTATATATAAAAAAAAATGACTTATCTAGAAGTTTAAATGCATAACATAGAAGAGAGGCGAAAGATACCAAAGGGACAATCAAACTCATAAATAAAAAAAAAACTGACAATGCCATGCTATTACATGAAAAACAAACAACAGTAAACAGAACACATCAGAGACTGAGCAACACGAACTACGCCAAAAACAGAGGGTGATCTCAGATCATTCTCCTAATGTTACATCTGTCCAAAAAAAACAAATCTACCAAAAACTGATATTGTATTCCTTGTGCGGTTTGCTTCTTGAAAGCACAACGTTCAAAATATCATAGTCTGAAATTGGTTTTGGTGTGATGTAAAGTCTCATTTCAGTAATGTTTAGACACCAGTGACCTACTGGTCAGTTGGACAAGTGAAGTTATGAATAACTGAGGCAAAAACGATAAAATTTTAAGGCTCAATCTATCTTCAGTGGGTGTGGGCTTTAATATAACACAAAAACCCTGATGCAAATTGCATAGACCCAGGGACTTTAAATATTTTTAATTTTTAATGAAACATTGATTTAAGTTCTACACACAAAGTACAGTTGTCCCCTTGAAAAATAAAAAATAAATCACCAGAAAGCAAACACAAAACAAAGAAAACTCATTTTGTCCAGGCAAGTGAGCATAACACTCTGTTCTCCTTTAAAATGTCTCATTTAAACTAATTTGAATGTTATATGTTACAGAGCCATAAACAGCTATGGATGGAGGTAGCAGAGAAAATCACTATTGCTGTACAACAGATTATAGAATTTGCTAAAATGATTCCAGGTTTTATGGACTTATCTCAGGATGATCAAATTATGCTCTTAAAAGCTGGTAAGTACATTGACAATAGGTTTTAATGTGAATAATATGTTTTATTTATTTAATATTATTCCAGATCAATAATTTGTATGCCCCATTTATGGGCATTATGTTTTTCGGTCTTTGCGTCCGTTCATTTGTCCGTCTGTCCGTCTGTCTGTCCCGCTTCAGGTTAAAGTTTTTGGTCAAGGTAGTTTTTGATGAAGTTGAAGTCCAATCAACTTGAAACTTAGTACACATGTTCCCTATGATATGATCTTTCTAATTTTAATGCCAAATTTAGAGTTTTGACCCCAATTTCATGGTCCACTGAGCATAGAAAATGATAGTGCTAGTGGGGCATCCACGTACTATGGACACATTCTTGTTTTCATTTTAAAAAGAAATTGGAATATATTCCAAACTATAAACATGTATTTGTTTAAATTGATTAAAATTTTTATTACGTAATCTCATTGTTGAATTTTATTTGTAAATAAGTAATTTTGCTTTAAACTTGAGAAAGTTTGAGTATATTGAAAGACCTTTTTTCTGATTTTTAAGTTGTCTTTTGTTAGAATATTTGTAATAGTTATACCCCCGCTTTTAAAAAGTAGGGTATACTGTTTTACCTCTGTCTGTTTGTCAGTCCCATGAATATTTTTGGTGGCATCTTTCTCAGGAACTACATCATAAGGATTTCTGAAATTTGGTTTCAGGGTTTATATAAGTCAGCTGTACCGTGTGATGTGTTTTCAGATTCATCACTCAACAACTTCCTGTTTACCGAACACTTGCATATTTTTACACTTTTAAAATTATCCAGTTGTGGCGGGGGTATCATCAGTGAGCAGTGGCTTGCGATTCACTTGTTCTTGTTGCAATATAATCAATTTGGACTAAAGCAGTCTTAAGCAAACACCAGTCCGTCAATCACCGGACAATATTTTGTTAAAAAAATGGCTACTGGACATTTTAAAATACTAATAATGTGAATAAACCTGTTACAATTTCAAGAAAATTCATGAATTAGAAAAATTAACATGTAATACTTAATGTTTTGATGACATCTATGCCAGTTGTGTTACTGATTGTAATGAATTGATTTTACAGGTAGTTTTGAGCTTGCATTGATCCGGTGCTGTAGGGTATATGATTCCTCCAAGAATAGTGTTGTGTTTGGTAATACTATATTACCATTAGAAGTGTTCGATGCATTTAGTAAGTACATTATAACAGTATTTCAAGTAATAACATGCAAGTTATTCTGGTCATTACTTTCTTGACCGTTATAGAAATTGATTTTAATACATATGAATGTCTCTTATAGTCATGTGTATTTTTCATTTTCATTATACCTCTGCTTCCTAAAGCAAGGGGTTAACATATCATACATTGTTTTCCTATAATAAATATTGGTATAAGTTATTTAGATAGCTACCAGATCCTTCTAAAAAAAAAGATATGATTTTTTCACAGAATTGTTTCTCCCTTCTTCAATTCCTTCAAATATTGATTATATAGAAAATTGCATTGTTAGCGCTCTCATGTGTACAGTTCTTGCCAGATTTTTATGAAACTTATATCATAGGTTTATATCAGCAATGTCTCAGACAATTTAGAAAATAGTGCTGCTCAAATATTTTTAACTAGTAATACCCCTTGGATATATTATAAATATCTGAAATTGCATTGCATTTGATCTCAAGCCTTCATTTCTCTTAAGATATTTATATTAAAGAACTTTTTTTTAGTTATTGACCTTTGACCATGGTCAGATAAAACGTGGGGGACATTGGAACTCTCTTCATTTATTTGTGTGGGTATTTGAGTTGGAAGCAAATACAATTCTGTCACAAATGAAAATAAATACTATGGGTGGTGGGGTATACAAATTTTTTTTTTCCTTCAATATCCGCTAGAGGTTTTTAATAAATTTTAAAGTTGAAAGAAAGACTTTCTGGACATCTTTGATATAATGAAGTGCTAAAATACAAAACATAATTTTGTGTCCCCCAAAGTCGGCATTAAGGTTTACCCTTGTATGTCCCAAAATTGGTTTCCTTTCTCTAACTTTAGTTTGCCTTGACCAAATTTTATTCAACTTAAATTTTTCAAAATTATTTATACAAATGCAGTATATATTTTATCTTTCCAGATGATGAAGAAACACATTTACGAGACAGTATTTTCGAGTTGGTGAAAACTTTATTAGCTTTCAATTTAAATGAATCAGAAATTGCATTGTACAGTGCTTTAATATTAATCAGACCAGGTAAGTTTTATATCGGCTCTCCATAAAGATCTACTTTTGCTTCAGTAATCTAAAATGGTGGTTGTTTGATTCAGATGGAGCTGAATGACACCTGTGAAATTGATTAAGAAACCCACAAACTATATAAAAAAAAACACAAGATTATAGAGGGAGGATTTAAAAAACCATTAACAGACAAGATTATAGAGGAAAGATTTAAAAAAAACATTAACAGACAAAAATATAGAGGAAAGATTTAAAAAAAAAACATTAACAGACAAAATTATAGAGGAAAGATTTAAAAAAAACATTAACAGACAAAATTGTAGATGAAAGATTTAAAAAAAACATTAACAGACAAGATTATAGAGGGAAGATTTAAAAAACCATTAACAGACAAAATTATAGAGGGAAGATTTAAAAAACCATTAACAGACAAAATTATAGAGGAAAGATTTTAAAAAAACATTAACAGACAAAATTATAGAGGAAAGATTTAAAAAAAACATTAACAGACAAAATTATAGAGGAAAGATTTTAAAAAAACATTAACAGACAAGATTATAGAGGGAAGATTTAAAAAACCATTAACAGACAAAATTATAGAGGGAAGATTTAAAAAACCATTAACAGACAAAATTATAGAGGGAAGTTTTAAAAAAAACATTAACAGACAAAATTATAGAGAGAAGATTTAAAAAAAACATTAACAGACAAAATTATAGAGGGATGATTTAAAAAAAACATTAACAGACAAAATTATAGAGGGATGATTTAAAAAAACATTAACAGACAAAATTATAGAGGGAAGATTTAAAAAAAAACATTAACAGACAAGATTATAGAGGGAAGATTTAAAAAACCATTAACAGACAAGATTATAGAGGGAAGATTTAAAAAAAACATTAACAGACAAAATTATAGAGGGAAGATTTTAAAAAAAACATTAACAGACAAAATTATAGAGGGAAGATTTAAAAAAAACATAAACAGACAAAATTATAGAGGAAAGATTTAAAAAAAACATTAACAGACAAAATTATAGAGGGATGATTTAAAAAAACATTAAGACAAAATTATAGAGGGAAGATTAAAAATAAATTTTATAAATTGTGATTATGATTCCAAATGGGTTTGCAATTGCCAACAGGAGCTTTGGTTGCTAAATGGTAAAAAAAGTTTAACTACTGTTTGTTTAGCATGTCAACACTGAGTTCAAACCCTGCACATGGCAATTAGATTCCAATCTTAATTGACTAGGATTGTCAGTTTTCCTATTGAAGGTTTGGTGGCTCTCTCCTTGCATTCCGGCTTCCTCCTCCAATAAAAACTGACCACCATAAAATAGCCATAGTTCTGAAAGTGGCATCAAACACAAATCAGTCAATGTAATTGCAAACAAAATTTTAAGAAATTGATAAAGGAAATGTATGTCCTGTTCTTGAGCAAAGCTAAAATAAAAAAATTGAAGGTTGATTGATGTTAATTTTTACCTCAGAGTTGTTGCTTATATAAAGAATAAGAACTGGCAGGTAATTCAAATATACAGCTTTAGATTGTAAAATACGATCCAGTCAGCAATTGTATATCCAACATTGAGTTATAGCATAAGCAACAATCTAATATAAAATCTTCATTTTCTTTTAGATCGACCTGGTCTAAAGGAGTTAGTGGATATTCAGAAATTATATGAGAAAATTTTGTCTTCCCTGAAAGGAGAGATCGTCAAAACACATGCAGACAATCAGGATGTTCTGAACAAACTAATGCAAATTGCATGGACCCTTCGCAATCTTAGTGCTCAGCATATAGTGCTTCTCAACAAATTCAAAATGTCAGCACCAGACATTGAGTTTCCTCCCCTCCATAAAGAGCTCTTCAGTGTGGAGGGACTGGATTCTTGATGTTAAACTAGGCTTAAAACTGTGACTAACTATTGTTGTTGATGAATTAATGATATTTGTTATGGAATATGTATATCTTGTTTTATTACTTTTAACTTTTATCTTTTTAAGACTTTTTTAATGCAGATAATACAAGTTGGTTAAGACATCTTGTGCAATACACTTCCTGGTTAAATAACGTTTTCATTTCTTAGAAAATAATGTTCATATATTATTTTGTATTGCAATATACAAGCTAGAAATCACTTTAAATTCATCACTATTGCTAGTTCAGAAAAATTGCCATTAGTCTGTATGAACATTTGTTAGTTTTTCAAAGTGTGTTTCAGTTTATAAATGGAATTTGGTAACCATCAATATCTTATAATGTGTGAATAAAGTGAACAATATCTTGTATTCTACATTTAACAATGTACTGGAACCTTGGTCCTAAAACTTTACTTAGTACTCAAGAGTACAAAATTTGTGTGAGTACTATTATCGTGCTCGATATTATTATGACCACAAGGCCTGGTCAATCAAAATTCAAGATTAATAAACCAAAATGTATTTGTTCCTTCTTGGCCAAGCTAATGTACATTGTAGACAGCAATAGTTTTATATCATACTAAACTTATTCAAAATGGTTGACAATCATTGTTCAATAAACTATTTTTCATATTAAATTTAAAGATGGGGAAATAATTTGTTATAGAATGAATATCCCAATAACTTTTACATTATTCCAAATAGAGTAATAGTTTGAGGGTAATTCTGTACAGTGAAGTTTACAAAGAAATAAACTTGCTCATCATTTCATTACACTGTAATTTATAAACATAACTGTAAAAAAAATATTATACTAAATTTGAATCCTGAATTTGAATACAACTTTAATATACAAAGCCAAAGAAAGAAATTTGCATATGTTACTGTTTGACATACTAACCTATATAGATTTTGTGCCAAGTTAGTTGAAATCGTTCAGAAAAATATCAAAGTAAAAGATTTGTTTTCTATCTTGAAAACTTAAAACGATGGCTCTCCAAAAACACGAAAATTTAACATCTTGCACAATAATCTGATTCTTGATCCAGAGGTCACAAATATGCTGGATATTTCTTGGTCAAGTTTCCTCTTTAGTTCAATTTAGCCCTTAAACCTCAATCTTTACACAAGAATCAAAATTGTCATTATTTGTTTGTTGATACCTCTAATTACTCAGGAAAATCAATATCAGCCTTACCAACAACTGTACAGAATCTTTGTATTCCACTCTTGTAAATACCATCACATCATCCAATTATCAGGTCTTCTCTTATAGTCATTTTCCTCCATTGAAAGGTGCACTTCTTTTGGAATTTATTTTCCTCCATTGAAAGGTGCACCTCTTATTGAAGTTATTTTCCTCCATTGAAAGGTGCACCTCTTATTGAAGTTATTTTCCTCCATTGAGAGGTGCACTTCTTTTTTAAGGAGTGACCTTTGATATCATTTGAAGTATGGTTTATTTCAACTGTATTTAATTGAGGGATTGGTTAAGTGTTTGAATATATTTTGTCATTTTTCACAGCAAACAGTTACATGTACACCAAATCTTAAAAAATGTTAAGGTTGACATTTGTGTGCATGCCTTTAAAATAAAAGGTATCTTCAATTAAAAGGGGCTTTGTGCTTCTTAAACTGATTGGATTCATCCTAATTTATGAAACTTTTCTAATTAAAAAAGAAATATTCAATTTGCAGGAATGGTAAATAAAAGGATAATTAATTACCATCTATTTATTTCTGTGGAAGTTTTAAATTCCAGCACACAAATGTAGAAAATTATCTGGCAATTAAATTTATTGGTAATCAGTGTATGATATGATCCAATTAATTTTAACACTTTTTTCCAAGAGTTATGTCCCTTAATATTGAAAAAACATTGGTGGTTTCTGTTCAAGGTCATTATGGTATGCTTTAAAATCAATCTAAATTTTATACATTTAACCCAAGTCTAGTTTAATACATTCATAGTATTCATTTGGGGAAGGGGTGGGGTTAGCATAGTCCAGTCATTCTTTTAAATCATTTATTAGTAAAACATATATATTGAAACCTAATTGAAATAATGATATGTGATTTGAAAGATGATCTCACTGTTTTATCCTTTGTAAGTACAGGACCTGTTCTTCATAATTATTTGAAGTATAAGATCTGGTATCGATTACAGTGATGAAAACTGTAGATTGGTTGTATTACTGCTTTTATGAATACAGATCCTGTATATGTATGTTTTCTAATCTTGAGAGCCAGTAATTCATAATTTGTTTTTCATAATGAAAATCTACTTGTATATAAAAATGCTTTCTTGTAGAAGCTTTGCAATTCATGTCTTACCAACTGTTGTGATTAGATCACCTTCTGTAGATAAAATAAGCATTGGTTTCTTTGATGACTTATTGTTGTAAATGAACTTTTGAATTTGCAAAATTATTATTTTAAGCAAACATGCATGTTTCTGAAAGTAGCAAAATTTTGACTGAGGGCATTATTGGATGTGTTCGTCTTTAAATCATGTCACTTCCTGTTTATTTGTACATTTCATTTATATTTTACTAACTAGGCATGGTATTTTTCATGTGGGGCTATACTTTTGCAGGAAGTCACATGCAACTTCTTTTTGTAATCACTTTGTCCTGTTGCTCTATAAAATAAACATTATAAATGTAACAGTTGACTGCATAGTAAGTCAACATAATAACCTTGAGATATGCAAAAATGGATGACCTTATTTCAGTCTTGTATCAATTTGTTAAATCCTGACTAATCAAAGCAGACCAAACAAAAAGTAAGTGTGTTTAAGAAAATAGGTGAAAGAGGAAGGATACTTTTTATTTTGCTCAATTTTTTTTTTTGTTTTTTTTTTTTGTGTGTTTTGGGAGACCTCTTATTCGACTCTATTCACTTCCAAAGGTGCCAATTAACTCTTTCAGGGTAGGGAAACTGGAAACACAAGAATATTTTATTTTTGGCTTAAAATGTCGCATAACATTTAGACACAAAATTATATTAAGACATACTTCTCTAAATCTTAATAGCCAGATTTCTACTTTCCCAGACTGGTTGACTATAGACGGAATATCATGTTGACAATATTTCTCCTTTCAACAGTAAAATATTAAATTTTATGAATTTTTGCTGTAAGCTTTGTGTTTTAAATTTGAAAATTTGAAAATTCTATTTTGACTTGAGAATATTTGATTGCCATTGATGCAGAATCAGACTAAAATTAAACTTGACTTTGACTGAATTTATTATATACCTCAATTAAAAGTAATCCCAAAGACTGTGATGTAACCTAATCCCAAGATCAGAAATTTGAATATAATGACACTGAATTGCACATAACATTAACTGATCCCCTAAAACTACTTGAATCCAAACTGATCCCAAAGCTTACATCATGCTGACTTAATCTTAGAATCTAACCCCACCTACAATAGTAGGGTGACAATCTGTCCATTCATCTGTCTTGTATTAGGTTAAATTTTGGTTTATGGTAATTTACCATGAAGTGTTTGTCAAATGAACAAACATGTAGTAAACACGTTCATTGTGATGTTAAATATATGGCAAGTTAAGATTTTGATCCAGATTTCGTGGTTCACTGAATATGGTAATGTGATATTGTGAGCAGTGCATGGTGACCTATGGACACATATATTCTTGTTCTTGCCTGAAACTTTGGTGTTTTCTGATCCCTAAAACTTACTGAAATAAACAATAAGTGATAAGTTAATCTGTTGTAATTATTATATTGAGAGAAACACCTTGATTATTCACTATTTTGCTTTGTCGATTGAATACTTTAAATTCAGAAAAATAACTGTGCATTTATTATTGGAATTATTGAACTATGAACATAAATGATAGATAAATTATTGTTATTTCATCAAGTGTTGCATGCCAATGATGCTTTCAAAATTTTGAAGATGCGAGTTTTATTTTAGCAAAATCTATCCTGTAGCAAAAAGTAAAATAACAAAAATATCGAATTCCGACTCCAAGGAAAATTCAAATTGGAAAGTCTCTTATCAAATGGCAAAATCAAAAGCTCAAACACATCAAATGAATGGAAAACAACTGTCATATTCCATTGTAGCAATTTCACAGTAATAAAAACATCACAAAAATTTCTGAATATAAGGTAGTAGAAAATAATTGAACACAACCTCTGTATTTTTCAACACTTATCTTTATGCTTTGCTTAACTCCGATGAAAAATGCATGGATTTATTTTTAATACCTGGTTTTAATGATGAAAATGTTTTAAGGTTTTTGTAGATATTGATAACAGGCTACCATAGCCTAACATTAGCAACAGAGTTTTACCAGATATATTATATCTATAGAGTAGTATCTTGTTAAGTTTTAACATCTTTGTTATATTTTGTTTGTTTAATACAGATTTTACTTGTAAATATGTCTGCTATCAGCATTTATTTGTTAAGTTGTCTTTAGTTTTGTCTTATGTGTCGGTCATTGAAATTTGAGGTCCCTCATGGGCTTATTACCAACCTGATTTCCAGTGGAAAATTTATATTGAATCATTATTTGTTTACCAATCACAAAAATAAGAGCTCAAGTATAGACCATTATTTGGACAATGTATGTGTGCCACTTGTTATTTACACCTAATTATTACCCCCTTCTCCTTAAGAAATAAGAACATGTAATCATTTCAGAAACATTGCTCAGAACAACATTTTAATTATCATTTTTATCCCAGGAAATAAAAACTGACTAAGTTATTATCAAATTATCCTTATTGAGGGACCTCATCTCTTTGTTGTTACTGACTAGGAAAAGTACAAATATCCTTAAATGCCAGTTTCTGTAAATATGGGTAATTCATTACATTGTCTGGTGGTTCCTTTGTCAATTTTTCATGTACATTGTACCATTATGTTTAATCTTCACAAATTGTTAGCAGTCAGATGACACTACTCATTTTGACTTTTGATAATTGCAGTCTGTGTTTTGCTTTAATTTTTCTGAATTTCTCTCATCATTTGAGCAAGTGTTGTCTGTATAGAAAATATGATTATTGTCAGAAACTTTGATTGCAGATCCATTCTTCCCCACCCACCCTTTTAAGCTTGGTGATTAATTTCCTTTACTTCCCTGCTATGCTTGCTGCTAAAAAAGTAGATTTTTGTGTTATAGATGTACAGCAGGATATGTACATGGTACCTTATACATCTTATTTTAAAGTGTGTTAATTTAATCTGTCTTTCTTATTTTCATTACCTGTAAATTTTTATTTTTTTAGCCTTCTGGATTGAATCTTGTGCAAGAGTTGCAGTTTTCAGGTGCTGATCACTTTAGATGAGTTAAATTTTTTCCGAGAAAAGAATACATATTTTGTATTTTAAATCTTTATTTTCACCTGTCAAGTTCTTTTAAAAATATGATAGGAAATGTTAAAGAAAAAACATTTTTGTATTGCAAATCTTCTATTTCATTTCCCAAGTTATTTTAAATATGACAGAGGAAATGAATCAAAGTTTAAAGCTTTATGAAATACACTGCTAGTCATGTCACATGTTAACAGTTTGTCCAATCACAGCAAAGCTGTTGGTTAATCTACTAGGTACATACACCCTTCTTTTAGAGAGAAAGGCTAGATATAAAAGATATTAGAATTTTAATGAAATAGATTTTTATTGTTGATTTATAAATAAATGAATCAGGTGTTACTTGTTAAGTATTTGTTGTGAATATCCTTCATTTTATAGAATACCATGCATGAAATGGTGTGAATTTGTATGGTATTTTTCATGTTGAGAACAAGTGTAAACAGTTCATCTTAAAACATGGAATTATTCATTTTTAATCACTATGAAAAATTTGTATAGATCACAAAAATAATAAAATACTATTTTTATATACACTTATATTGTGTTAGTTGTCATTTGAGTGAAAAAGAGGGAAATCAAAGCCTTATAACATAAAAATAATGAGATGTGGTATGATTGTCAATGAGACAACTATCCAACCAATACCAAATGATAAAGATGAAAGCAATTATAGGTTACCGTGTTAGTATTGCACTGAATCAGCCACAATGTCTAGATGTTTGATATAACTAGTCTAGATGATATTTAGTCTTAAGGTGTATGTACTCTATTCGACCAAAAAAGATAATATTATCAAAGCATCAAGAAAAATTTTACACCTTAGATACACACATAAAACAGGCACATAAGCATATATTTATATATGAATGTATTATACTGATTACATGTTTTCCCAAACATCAGATACAAATACAAGTATAAAGACTGGTGTCACTAGTGTAGCTTGAGATGTTAATCCTTTAGAACACCTGAATTGATACTTTGTTTTTAATTGGATTTTGTGTTGTTCAGTCTGTCAGTTTTCAATAAAGTGTTGTAGGCTTTATTCTAATGTGTTGTCTGTTATTCTGCTTATGTTTTTATACGTCTGTTTATGGGACGTATTCTGGTATACCATTGACTGTCTGTCCGTCCGTCCATCGTCAACATGTCGGAAATTAACTCAAAAAGCTGTAACCAATATGCATGAAACTTTGGTGAATTGTTTATATCTATTGACGTGAGCTCCCTTTTGTTTTAAGCTCACCTGGCCCAAAGGAAATTTTCAGACGATTCCGACAACCCGTTGTTGGGTTGCTGCCCCTGAGTTAGTAATTTTACAAAAATTTTGCAGTTTTTATACGACCGCAAAAATTGAAAATTTTTTGGTCGTATATTGGTATGACGTTGGCGTCGTCGTCGTCGTCGTCGTCGGCGTCGTCCGGCGTCGTCCGAAGACACATTGGTTTTCGCACTCTAACTTTAGTTTAAGTGAATGGATCTCCATGAAATTTTACCATAAGGTTCAATACCACGAAAGGAAGGTTGGGATTGATTTTGGGGGTTATGGTACCAACAGTTAAGGAATTAGGGGCCAAAAATAAGCATTTTTGTAACTTCCAGACAATAACTTGTGTGTAAGTGTATGGATCTCTCTGACATTGTACCACAAGGTTCCATATCACAAAGGGAAGGCTGTAATTGATTTTGGGGGTAATTGCCTCAAAATTTTAGGAATTAGGGGCCAAAAAAGGGGCAAAAAACAAGCATTTTTCTAGTTTCATGACAATAACTTGTGTGTAAGTGTTTGGATATTTCTGAAATTGTACTACAAGGTTCCATATCACAAAGGGAAAGCTGGAATTGAGTTTGGGGGTAATTGCCCGAAACGTTTAGGAATAGGGGGCCAAAAAGGGGCCAAAAATAAGCATTTTTCTAGTTTCCAGACAATAACTTGTGTTCAAGTGTATGGATCTCTCTGAAATTGTACTGCAAGGTACCATACCACAAAGGGAAGGCTGGGATTGAGTTTGGGGGTGATGAATCATAAGGGGGTTCAAAAAATTTGGGGGGGGGATTTTTTTTTTTTCTTTTTTTCCTTTTTTTTTTCTTTTAAAATTTTCCATTTTAAGTTGGTTATTTCTGATTAATATTTAAAAGCAAATAATAATGATATGGTAGGAGATACACACCAAACAGGATGTGTAAATTATTATATAATAAGTATTGTGCAATAGCAAGAAATTTTCAATTGCACAGTATTGCACAATTGCAAGAAATCTTCAATTGCACAGTATTGCGCAATAGCAAGAAATCTTCAATTGCACAGTATTGCGCAATAGCAAGAAATATCCAATAGCACAATATTGCGCAATAGCAAGAAATTGTCAATTGTACAGTATTGCACAATAGCAAGAAATATTCAATTGCACAGTATTGTGCAAAAGAAGATACTTCGTATAAATTGCTTATTTCTTGACCAATTTCAATGGGGTTTTATTCTTGAATTCTTGGGGTTCTTTAATATGCTGAATCTAACCAAGTATTAAGTTTTTGGATTTTGGGCCCCGTTTTTAAATTGGTCCACATTGAGGTCCAAAGGGTCCAAAATTTAACTTTGTTTGATTTCATCAAAAATTGAATTATTGGGGTTCTTTGATATGCCGAATCTAACCGTGTATTTAGATTCTTAATTTTTGGTTCCGTTTTCAAATTGGTCTACATTAAGGTCAAAAGGGTCCAAAATTAAACTTAGTTTGATTTTAACAAAAATTGAATTTTTAGGGTTCTTTGATATGCTGAATCTAAACATGTATTTAGATTTTTGATTATGGGCTCAGTTTTCAAGTTGGTCCAAATCGGGGTCCAAAATTAAACTTTGTTTGATTTCAACAAAAATTGAATATATGGGGTTCTTTGATATGCTGAATCTAACCATGTATTTAGATTTTTGATTTTTGGGCCCCGTTATCAACTTTGTCCACATTGAGGTCAAAAGGGTCCAAAATTAAACTTTGTTTGATTTCATCAAAAATTGAATTCTTGGGGTTCTTTAATATGCTGAATCTAACCATGTATTTAGATTTTTTATTTGTGGACCCGCTATCAAATTGGTTCATATTGAGGTCAAAAGGGTCCAAAATTAAACTTTGTTTGATTTCATCAAAAATTGAATTATTGGGGTGCTTTGATATGCCAAATCTAACCGTGTATTTAGATTTTTAATTTTGGGTTCCGTTTTTAAATTGGTCTACATTAAGGTCAAAAGGGTCCAAAATTAAACTTAGTTTGATTTTAACAAAAATTGAATTCTTGGGGTTCTTTGATATGCTGAATCTAAACATGTGTTTAGATTTTTGATTATGGGCCCAGTTTTCAAGTTGGTCCAAGTTGGGGTCCAAAATTAAACTTTGTTTGATTTCAACAAAAATTGAATATATGGGGTTCTTTGATATGCTGAATCTAAACATGTATGTAGATTTTAGATTTTTGGCCCAGTTTTCAAGTTGGTCCAAATTGGGGTCCAAAATTAAACTTTGTTTGATTTCAACAAAAATTGAATATATGGGGTTCTTTGATATGCTGAATCTTACCATGTATTTAGATTTTTTATTTGTGGGCCCGCTATTAAATTGGTTCATATTGAGGTCAAAAGGGTCCAAAATTAAACTTTGTTTGATTTCATCAAAAATTTAATTATTGGGGTTCTTTGATATGCCAAATCTAACCGTGTATTTAGATTTTTAATTTTGGGTCCCGTTTTTTAAATTGGTCTACATTAAGGTCCAAAGGGTCCAAAATGAAACTTAGTTTGATTTTAACAAAAATTGAATTTTTGGGGTTCTTTGATATGCTGAATCTAAACATGTGTTTAGATTTTTGATTATGGGACCAGTTTTCAAGTTGGTCCAAGTTAGGGTCCAAAATTAAACTTTGTTTGATTTCAACAAAAATTGAATATATGGGGTTCTTTGATATGCTGAATCTAAACATGTATTTAGATTTTAGATTTTTGGCCAAGTTTTCAAGTTTGTCCAAATTGGGGTCCAAAATTAAACTTTGTTTGATTTCAACAAAAATTGAATATATGGGGTTCTTTGATATGCTGAATCTTACCATGTATTTAGATTTTTTATTTGTGGGCCCGCTATCAAATTGGTTCATATTGAGGTCAAAAGGGTCCAAAATTAAACTTTGTTTGATTTCATCAAAAATTTAATTATTGGGGTTCTTTGATATGCCAAATCTAACCGTGTATTTAGATTTTTAATTTTGGGTCCCGTTTTTTAAATTGGTCTACATTAAGGTCCAAAGGGTCCAAAATGAAACTTAGTTTGATTTTAACAAAAATTGAATTTTTGGGGTTCTTTGATATGCTGAATCTAAACATGTGTTTAGATTTTTGATTATGGGACCAGTTTTCAAGTTGGTCCAAGTTAGGGTCCAAAATTAAACTTTGTTTGATTTCAACAAAAATTGAATATATGGGGTTCTTTGATATGCTGAATCTAAACATGTATTTAGATTTTAGATTTTTGGCCCATGCAGTTTTCAAGTTGGTCCAAATTGGGGTCCAAAATTAAACTTTGTTTGATTTCAACAAAAATTGAATATATGGGGTTCTTTGATATGCTGAATCTTACCATGTATTTAGATTTTTTATTTTGTGGGCCCGCTATCAAATTGGTTCATATTGAGGTTTAAAGGGTCCAAAATTAAACTTTGTTTGATTTCATCAAAAATTGAATATATGGGGTTCTTTGATATGCCAAATCTAACTGGGTTTTTAGATTTTTAATTTTGGGTCCCGTATTTTAAATTGGTCTACATTAAGGTCCAAAGGGTCCAAAATTAAACTTAGTTTGATTTTAACAAAAATTGAATTCTTGGGGTACTTTGATATGCTGAATCTAAACATGTGTTTAGATTTTTGATTATGGGACCAGTTTTCAAATTTGTCCAAGTTGGGGTCCAAAATTAAACTTTGTTTGATTTCAACAAAAATTGAATATATGGGGTTCTTTGATATGCTGAATCTAACCATGTATTTTGATTTTGGACATTGGACCATAATAGGTAAATTAAAAAAATTGAAGTTCTTAGACCACATTCTTTCTGTGTCAGAAACCTATGCTGTGTCAAATATTTAATCACAATCCAAATTCAGAGCTGTATCAAGCTTGAATGTTGTGTCCATACTTGCCCCAACTGTTCAGGGTTCGACCCCGTCGTATCAAGCTGCGCCCAGCGAAGCATTTTATTTGTTATTATCTTAGATATCATTATAATATCTAATATCTAATACTATTAATTATGATTTTAACCTTATTTTACATGATTTCCAAAGCATCAGTAAATACAGGTGAGCGACACAGGCTCTTGAGAGCCTCTAGTTGGTTATTATCTTGGATATTATTATAGAAAGAGATAAACTGTAAACAGCAATAATGTTCAGCAAAGTAAGATCTACAAATAAGTCAACTTGACCGAAATGGTCAGTTGACCCCTTAAGGAGTTATTGCCCTTTATATTCAATTTTTAACCATTTTTCATAAATT